AGATTCATGCACAAAGGACCAAGAATGGACAAAAACATCGTATGATACATACATGCAATATTTTTAGGAGAAAAGAGGCATTGCAGAGAGAAAACAGCCCATTTAACTATTTAAGTACTGTGGAAATTACTACTCTCTTCTCACAATTAGGACATAGCTAACAGATACATGGTCACCTTGGTTCAATTTGTTGTTTTCAACAGAATCTACACTCTATTTCCAGCTTTCTGCACACACCATCCCCAGTGTAGAAACAAAGACATTCAGCCAGTCACGTTCAAATTCTACAGTTCCACAAGCCAAACAATACCTAGTAAAGGATAAATTGGGATACATAGAGCATACATTTTGATGACGTTCAAGGACTTCACGATTTTCATTCCGCAATGCATCAATTGTAAGTACATGATTTTCCAATTGCTTTCTCAAGTCCTGCAGAAACCAAATCCATAAGCATATAAGGTCTTTCATCCCAAGGAAAAAGAAAAAAAAAAAGAAAAAAAAAACCATGTAAAGTAGCTCTTAGCTAATTTGAATTCAGACAAAGATGTAAATTGTATCTGGCGATACCGTATTTGAACGTTGAAGGCTTCGAAAGTCATCAAGAGAAACAGGGCCCTCAGTAGCGCCAATACCAATGCCTTTAAGTCTTTTGGTTTCGGGACCAAACTCCTCTGGAAAACAAATACAAGTAACATACTTCATATCCAAGCACCCTAGGAACTTAATGTATAATTACTGATCCACCATCCGTGAAGAATGGATACAGACTTTACGAAAACTAGCACCACTTTTGCATGGGTGCATAGTTTCTGTTGGCAAGTGAAGCGAGTATATTTTTAAAAAAAAAAATAATAAATAAAAAAAAAAAGAAAAGAAAAGAAAAGAAAGAGTAATAGCTAATACCTGCTTTTCTCTTCAATGTGGTATCATCAGATGAAGGGACAGATGATGAGACTTCTCGATAAACAAATGCAAATGCATGCTCTACAGCCAAAACCACGAATCAGAGATGTAAAAAGCGCAATTCAGGACATATTTACCAATTCAAGGACTGAAGTGCAACGCTTGATCGAAATAACTGCATAGTACATATATATCATCTACAAGCAACATAATACCATGCTGAGGAGGAGCCGCTAGTGATATGATATCACCATGACAAAGCTTAGCTTCAAACTTAGAGCTACCTCGCTTCAATCTCTCCCAATTCAGATAAGATCCATTGGTGCTGACAAGGTTAAAGATTTTAAAGTCAGAATTCATTAACCTTCACAATCTCACATGATATACAAGTAAAATCTTTCTCAATACATTCATATACTAAGAGCCTTTGCAGTTTGCACATTTAAAAAAAAAGTATCGGGGCATCACTAGAAATATGAGGTATATAATTTTATAACATCAAATGCCTGTCTTCGAAAAAGAAAAACCTTGTATCTTTTAGAAAGGCAGCATTGCAGAAACCAGAAGGATTCTCAACATCTTCCTTAGGAACTCTTTTCCTAGAGATTGCACAATGTCGTTGACTAACTGCATTTGAGTCTATCTGAAAACGCACGTCATCTACTACTCGTCCAATGCAATGCTCATTGGCGGTTAATAGAATATTTATTCCCTGTTCACAGATATTCCATTAATCAGCTAAAGTGCTTAACGTTGGATTAAAAATTCAAAAAATAATAAATACCAGGACTTGATTTTACAGTGCACGGTAAATATGACCACAAAAACACGTCAGAAAGTAACTGAAATAAACTGACATGTTAAAATAAAATAGGTCAACAACGGTAGAAGAATAATTATACAAGTTCTGGCATATCGCACAAAATTACTTTCTTTTTTCAAATGTATGGGAAACTTACAATATAACAAGGCCTTGTTCAGCGTAGGCGCTTAGCTACAGTTTTTTCAACTCTTAACTCACTTTATGAGTGTATTGCCAATGCAAAAAGAACCTTTATGGGTACATAAAATGCACACATCTCATAATTAAGGATTCAACAGTTTTATTTATTGTGAACTACCTCTTCAAAAGTAGTGTATACTTGATCCTTTTTTCATCTCTCAATTTAACATGGGACAGTCTAAGGAGATCCATTATCAGTAATTACTAAATTTGGAAAGGTGATAGCTTTTCCCAATGAAAGAAGCATGTGGATGAAGTTGGAGTGAATAGATGGCAAACATCTCTAAGGACTCTAACTAAATATAGCAACAACATGCTAAGACAGTTATCATACAAAGGAAATCAGTTTCTATCCCTACCCTTGTAACTTACAAAATTAAATATACTTTCTCGTTTGATTAAGGAAGGATTACTTAAAAAGGAAGACTTTGTCTCATCAACCCTAACCTTTCTCTGCCTAAAGAACCCTGTAAATTTTAAAATCGTTTAAGAGCACCTCATCCTCAACATTTGCATTTCCTGTGATACATATTACATAAACCAAAAAATTAGTCTATTCCAAAACCCAATCCACCTTAGACTCACTATGTCAGTAATCTGACTAAAGATTGTCATTTGTCAATGATCGTAAAGCCCTTAATTGACAATTTTAGATTCAGTTACATCAAAGATCTCACCCTAATTCCCAAATGAAAAGAACAGTATTCCCCTTCCTTTTTCCTTACTTTATCCGTACAAAACAATTTTCTATACGAGAGGTTCTCCCAGGCATGATGGATGCCACAATCAATCTCATTTAGGTTTTCTAAAATAGTTCCTCTTTGAAAATTCCACATCATCATTAACATCCGTAAAAAAACTCTCACACCTACCTATATAATCTTCTTCATCATTGGTCACAACATGCGCCAGTTAATGTTCCCCTTCAAAATAAATCGCAACATCCACTCATTCTTTCCCTCCCATAAACAACACTCAAACTTTTACAACCAATGTCATTAATGTTCCAACATTAGTTTCTTCCATATATTCAGTGTCATCCTTTTCCACCTACAAACAACATTCAAAATCCAGGCTCAACCCGGAGTGTTACTCTCATAGTCCATTTTGCAAAAGGAACAATAATACGAGTAGTGAATTATTAAGGCACATTGATGACATCAATATCTTAAATAACTAATCTCACCCAAGTGAAAATTCAATATTTGCAACACTCTAGCTCAAACTACCCAAAAAAATTAACACCTTTTTCTCAGTAATCAACACAATACCTCATTCAAAAATAAGAAAACCCTAGAAATTTGCATACAAAAAATATTAAATAACTAATCCCACCCAAGCGAAGATTCAATATTTGCAACATTCTAGCTCAAACTACACAAAAAAATTAACACCTTTTTCTCAGTAATCAATACAATACCTAATTCAAAAACAAGAAAACCCTAGCAATTTGCATACAAAATATCATACATCAGTTTTACGAATCGATTACCTGAGACCGCTTACGAGCATTGTTCGAAATAGCGGTAAGAACACCCCAAACATCAGGATCAGAGCAAGGGAGAGGTTGCGCAGCGATTTTGGAAGCGACGGCGATAATGGCGTCTTTAGGAGAAACAGGTTTAACCGTCGAAGGTTCATCTTTGGGTTGACAAGAGCTAGATTGAGATACAACTAGACCTTCTTCTACCTTTCTAGGGCTCGGATTTTGTTCCGGCGTAACTTGGATTCCTGGCCTCCTTTCCTCTACAATCGCCATTGAATCCACTGTGAAGCTTCAGCGAAACCCTAATTTGTGAATTTGGGGAAGAAATTAGGGAATGTGAAGAGAAAATTAGTGTTTGAGAGTGAAGAATTGAAGAGGAGAGAGAAAATAGGGCGTTGGTATAAGCAGTGTAAGTGTGTGTAAACCCTTGAACATGAATTGTCAGCACTTTTAAGAGGGTGGAAGAAGAGTGACAATCGTACGCTGAAAGTTTGAGGAGAGAGAAAATACCCGCCAAATAATTTCCTACTGGCGGGCCCCACCTAACAAAACTAACTTTGTGATAATACAGAGTACGATTTTAGGTTAGGGTTGTACATGGGTCCAAAATCGAGTTCGAATTACTAGAATCTTTTGAACAACAAGGTTGAATTTTTAATAATGTTTGGATTGAGGTTAAGATTGGATTTTCAAGTTTACTTAGATTTTGTATTGTAAAATTAAAAATTGTACTTGTACTATTATACGGAGTATGTTTTAATACTTTTTTGTTTTTGTAAGTATTGCTTTTAAGAATGGTAAAATTATATTCATTGACACCAATTTAAGAGTACGTTGCAAGTATTGACACGAACTAGTGTCACATGTAAAATTGACACCAACTTGCTCAAAAAAGAATAAAATTGACATTAAGGCACTAAACATTCAATAGTGCTCTACATATGACATCTATATAGTCTTATCTTTCCAACACATTAAGAACTTTTTGAAACAAGTGATTGTATAAAAGAAATTTTATACTTATACAAGTGTTAAAAGTTATGTAAAATTAATTGTTGAGTGTCATTTATGTCAATTTTGTAATTTTTGTAGCAAGTTGGTGTCAATTTAGCAAGTAATATAAGTTGGTGTCGAAGCCTGACAAGATTAATGATAAGCTCGTTTTTCTTCAAAAAAAGATCTTTTGGTGTCGAACAATCTTGGGTGAATCATTACCCCCAAGAAATAGCCCCATATGTAATCATGGATTCCCTTGCTATTAATTAATGATAAGCTCGTTTTTCTTCAAAAAAAATAAAAAAAATAAGTTGGTGTCAATAATTGTAAAACTTCATAAAGCTGATGTCAATAATTGCAATTTTGCTTTTAAAAATGTGATTATTTTTTTAAAAGCATTACACTTTTTTTTGGTTAAAAAGCATTTTTATTAGGAGCAATTTCCTTTTAAAAACTGCCCAAAATATAAAAATATACTCTGTAAAAACTATATTCTTTTTTACTCTGCTCTGTATTTTCTACTTTATGGTTGACAACAACTTTAACATTTATTTTTGGTTGTTAAAAGAGAGGGCAAACCCCTGAGAAAGACATAAGGCAAACCAAAAACAACACAATCAAACCATAATCACTTCACCCAAATCCTAAAAATTTTACCGATTCACAATAAATTAACAAAATTATCACATCAAACCATAGTCACTTCACTAATACGTAACATGTTTTGCTTTTGCAACAAAGTTTGATTTGAGGCCTAACCCCTATACGAGACACAACACATATAAAAATACAAGTATAACATAGCTTTAGAAACAGAGATTGGGAAACTGTTCCCGCAGTTCTTCAGAGTTCAAACTTCAGGTACTAATTTTCTCCAACAGCTTTCACTTTCTTGTACTTGTTGATTTCCCAGTAATTCGATTGCTTTAATTTCTGGGCATGAAATCCAGATTATTTCATAAGAATAGGGATATTCTTGATTTGCTTATACTAAAGTCGAAACCTTATTGATTTATTTTCATTAGTAATGTCCGCACTCCTTTTCTTACTGTCAATGGAGTAGATTGTTTGTTTTTCATAAATCCCGCTACAAAGGGCAATGATGTAGACGAGATTAAAAAGTGCTGAACTTTAAAGTGTTTTTATAGTTGTGAATCTAATTAGCACTCATTAATTCAGATTTCTTTTTCTATTGAATTCCTAATTTTTTGTCTGGTGATATCTATATGTATTTAAGTTATTCTATTGCTAGTGATTTTTCTTGTGAATGAGAAGCATTATTCTGCTATAAAAATTGAGTCTTTTTTATAATTGCTATGATTTGCTTATCAATTTCTGTGATTTGCTATATTTGAACCTTCTAGGGTTTGTAAAGTATAGGGAAATTGTGAGGGTGATAGTGTTAAGTTTGTCCAGTTAAAGTGCTTGTCTAACAAGACCAAAACCGATCAATCAATCAAAGCCTTAAGTCCATAAGTGGGATCAGCTACATGAACCAATGATTATTCCGTATAGTCATCCACAAAAATCTTCCTCCTCCATCCCTTACGATCAAATACTTCATTATCATGCAAATCCAAATACTTCATATCCTTCCTAACTCCTTCCAACCAAGTCATTTTCGGTCTCCCTCTACCTCATAAACAATTATTGAAGAGGGTTACTCTTTAGACAAGATTGAATCTTTGTTAAGGGTAGTGAGGGCTAGTTGGTTGGTTGCAACTCGAAAAATGAAGCCATTTTTGCTAGATAATCTAATTGTATCTGCCAACTTTGTATTGTTGGCACTTAGTGCTGGACACTACAAGAAATCAGGTCAAGGAGGGCGATTTACTTCGCCCTCTTTGATACATTTATCGCCCTCATGCTTTCCCTCTTAGCCTTGTATTAGTTTCAAAGGGCAACTGTAATATTTAGCCCTCTTTGTTAAAGATCAAGGAAGGCAAATTCCGTCCTCTTTATCGCAAAATTCCGGAATAAAATGTGTGCTGATATAGATATTGCTTCATGTTTGCTATTATGAAAGAGTTTTTGTAGCAACGATGGGGTAGTTGCAAATGACAGTTCAATAAGATGGTTGCTATCAGATCATCAGTCGATAGAAAATACGTAGTATAAGATCATATGAACCAATATCAGATTATAGGAAGTGTTTATCATTTTAGAAAGTGAAAATATGTTAGGTGTAACAGTTAGAAAGATGGGTTTATGGGATTGGCAGGTCAGTTGCTGTGTTTTATCTTCTGAGAATTTGCCTAGGAGGGGTAGTTAGTAATTGATAGCACCTCTTTCTGTGGAAAAGATTTGTTCAAGTCCAAATCTTATGACGTTTGAGAAGGAAAGGGATTTAATTACATATCTCTACTAACAAGCTGAGTATTTGAAATGGATTTACAAGCTGATCTGCTCTCATATTTAATTATTAACCTTCACTGATGTTGGTTTCATGCTCATTGATTAACTCTTTTCTAAATATATTTTTGTTTACTTAGCTACTATGAGTACTATTACTGATGTTAGTTTCATGCTCATTTGTTAATTATATTGATATACTTTGTATAATCAATTCTATAATCTGTCAGGTGTTTCGAAATTGGAGGAGATATAATAAAGAGCAAAAAGTTGGATTGCCTTTGAATAGCAGGAATTTTAAGTGTGGAATCTTTGTTTAAGGTGCTTTTTATACCTTATACAGCTAACTCAAGTAAATCCATGCTCTCAAGCATTGCTTCACCCATGATTAGAAACCCAATAGTTGCAGCCATGAATTACACAAAGAAGAAAGCTGCTGTACTTTACCACTACCCTTGCCCTGATGGCACCTTCGCGGCCCTTGCAGCACACCTTTATTTCTCTGCTACTTCCTCCCCAGTTCATTTTTTTCCAAACACTGTCTACAGTCCTATCAAGGCAGACCAGTTGCCTTTGCAAGAAATCGGTGATGTTTATCTTTTAGATTTTGTTGGACCCTCTGGGTTTGTTGCTGATCTCTCATCCAAGGTGGAGAAAGTGATCATTCTAGACCATCATAAAACTGCACTTGAGACTTTAGGTGATGAAACCTCATTGGGTGAGAATGTAACGAAGGTGTTAGATATGGAGAGGAGTGGGGCAACAATTGCTTATGATTACTTCAAGCAGAAGCTTAGTGAAGGAAATGGAGGCAGTCATGAGTCCGTTCTTGCTGAGTTCAATAGAATGAGAAAAATTTTCGAGTACATCGAGGATGGAGATCTTTGGAAGTGGCGCCTTGAGAATAGCAAAGCTTTCAGCAGTGGGTTGAAGGACCAGAATTTAGAATTTGATTTTCAGAAAAATCCCTCTGTGTTTCAGCAGTTGCTCTCACTGAACCTTGAATCTGTTATAAATCAAGGTATTATAAGCTTAGATCATAAGCAAAAGTTGATTACTGATGCTCTTGAGCAATCTTTTACAATCAACCTTGGAGGTGGGGCATTCGGTTGTTGCCTAGCTGTCATCGCAGATGAAGCTCTTTCAGAATTAAGGAGTGAACTTGGGAATCAGTTGGCTTGTAAGAGCCAAGACCAGAACTTAAGGGGCATCGGAGCTATTGTTTACAAAGTTCCCGAGCTTGGGAATGACCAGATGTTTAAAATCAGTCTTCGGAGTGTCAAAAGTGAAGACACGACTCCTATTTCAGAGAAATATGGTGGTGGTGGACATCGTAATGCTAGTTCATTTCTGCTAAGATTGGCTGATTTTGAAGCATGGAAAATGAACAGTTGATGATTTCTTTGTTAATTTGTCAATCAACAAATTTTGTAGTTGTTTAGTTGACAGTGTTAACTACATATAGAAACTAACTTGGCAGTTAGGCATGTTTACTTATGAAGTTATGATTTAGATTTTGAAGTCCTACATTTTGTAAGAGAAAACTATAATGTCATTCTTGAGAAAAACTCAGCGCCAGGGTGTGTGCCTGTATTACTTCTCCAATTTTGCCAACTTCAACAAAATCTTTGCCCAGGGTTTTTTTTTTTTAATTTCAAATCAAAGAATTGATTTTCAGTCACAACTTTGTTTACTAGTTAGAGAAAAAAATAAAACTAAAAAGGCATGTTTGGATTCAAATTTATGCTCATGACAGGGTTAGAAGACTGAAAAAAATATCCTTCAAGTATAGGGTGAGAATTGAACCTCTCTCACAGAGTCACAGGGTTAGAAGAATGAGACGAAGACCCTCAACCCACTAAGCCAACCTTGATTTTCAGTTTTCCATCCCCTCTTTGAATACGGGAAGCTAATCTTTAAACTTCTCACATTCGACAATGAAGTTTCATGTACTATGTCTGACGTCTGTACTCCAGCTTTCGCTAGTCCAAACTCAACACTCTGGAGCTCATCTCACCGACCTTGATTATATAATCACTCAAGCATAACCCATTGCATCAGATGCCAATAGTCGCAAACTTGTAAAATTGGAAACATCTCAATATGTCATGAACGACATTTCTCAAAATGTTAGATTATCATTAATCATCAGTGTACTAAATCCTAACCAATTGAACAGTTTACATGGTTTTCACAAACTATGAGCCAATGAAATTACAATACCCACTGTGCCATACATTGTGCAGGAGAGCAATTGATATCGTTCAACTAGTCACTAAAATTGCAGGTTAAAGTGAATACACTGTCATCTACATAGTATATGATGAGGAAGTCGCATCTTGCCCCTGAATGCTAACCAGCAAGGGGATTAGCATGTATGGTGACACGGTTGAGCCTAATTTCAGCAAGTGGGCGATCCCCTGGACCTGTTTTTGTCTGCATATGCCAGGAAAAAAAAAGTATTAGGGACAGATGTCATTGAGGAATTGCAAAATGATCACAAGGCAGAGCATCATCATGGCCCTAGAAAGAGGAAAAAAGAAGGAAAAAAAGGGCATTGCAAGACTAAAGATGTAGCCTCGTATGAAGAAACTAGATAAAGGAAACCATGCAAAAACAACAGTTTCATGACAAATGGTAGCACAAGCAGATATCAAATTCAAGTATCCAACATTACCTTTTCCATAAGATCAAGAACCTCAAAGCCATGGATCACCTTTCCAAACACAGTATACAATCCATTCAAATGAGGCTGCTTAGCATATGTTAAAAAGAATTGGCTTCCATTGGTATTTGGGCCACTGTTAGCCATCGCCAAGATTCCCCTAGCATTGTGCTGCAAAAGAAATATACAGAATATTATAGAGGAATTAATTTTAAGGTTCTATTTCTTATTCTCAATAGTTTGTCATCGTTAAGAAAAGAAAAGCAAGACATTTACAGCTTTTTCTGGCAAATCAGTCTCTGCTTCAATATCACACACATTAATCGAACAATGGAGTAACTTAAGTACTTAATCATATGAAGTTACCTTACAGAGTAAAACACAACACGACTTGTAGGTAGGTAAGGTTTAACAAGAATTACAGACACATGGTGAATTTTAGCGACCAAGAGGTCCCAAACAAACTCATGTATGATGACAAAATTTGAATGAACAAGGAATGAATTAATATCCAGATAGAAATCATAAGCTACTATAGTTCATAAAATACCTTAAGAGACTCTCTTATCTCATCATTAAACTTTTTCCCCCATATACTTGTACCACCTTTGCCAGTGCCAGTTGGATCTCCTCCCTGGATCATAAAACCTTTTATGTTTCGATGAAATATGGTCCCATCATAGTACCCACTGGCGCATAGAGCCAAAAAGTTCTGGAATATCAAAAAGGCATTTGAATCATTGACCAAGAAACAAACGATATCAAATTAGAATGAAGTATATCTATAAAATATGACTGGTTTTTTGTTCTAATCATCTCCAACACCTATCACATTCACTTAATCCATAATAGGATTTTGTGTTAGGTAATGGAAGGTATAACTTTTATATACAAAGAATCAGGAAAACTGAAGCAAAAAAAAAAAAAGTGCTGCACCTACATATTTTATCACATGGAAAGCAAGGTAGACAAAAGCTTTTGCCAACATAAAGGACAATGAACAATGAATAAAAACTAATTAGAGTTGTTTGACTCAGGCCTCAGAGGAGAGGGAAGGAAAAGTACTGAGGAAAGGAAAAGAAGGAAAATACAACTCTTCATGCCCCCCAACTGTTCGGACACGAAGACCAGAAACATATGAAGTTCTAAGAACCTTTTCTTGCATTTGAATAAGTTGATCTACAATAACTCTACCCACTTCTCCCCTCTTGTTCATCTTTTTCAGGATAGGTGATTTTGGAGATGAGTGCATATTAATTTTCTCCCGCTTCCTAAACTTCCCACTACCTATTAAATCCTAAGCTCATTGGATGGCCTACAACATATAGCATATATTTTCTTCAAAAAAATATGTGTAGGAGAAAGAATGAACACCTCACTATCAACTTATCCAAATATCAAGCATGTAATTCTGAAAAATAGAATACCGTGCAGAAAATCCATGCCAAGCACACAAAATGACAAAACAAACACTTAAATTCTTCTAGTTTGATCTCAAAAGGAGTATTCATCAAATTGAGATTTGTCTCTAATCTCTATCGATAAATATTGAGTACAAGGAACCCCAATCACAATTACATTGGAAAACTTTATCAAGGTTGGCATGTTTGTATAGAGTCATATTCCATATACAAACCCGAGCCATTTCCATTAGCAAAGGTCCTTCAGGGATAACTATGGAGTGCAATAAAACTTCGATTGTCCAAAAAACATACACACATGCCCATATAATTTTCAATGCCCTTCAAGGCTTCACATCTCATAACACCATCCTTGTAAGACAACTACAAACTTCACAAATAGTTAGCAGTCTCCAACTATCCAATCCATGATTTACTCCTATACTTAGAAGTTAGAACCAATGCAATGCAACCAAATTCCAAATTCCCAATCTCATCAAAACAGCAATGCTACCCCAATCTATTCAGTATTCACAACCCCACATCCCAAAAATATCTAATTTTAATTTTATAAACGCCTTAAACCCTAAAGCAATCTTGTAAACTACCCAAGTCATTACCGTTCAAATTACACCATCAACGCGACCATTAAATAAATACGGAGAAAATGAGAACAACAATAAAATCATTTAAAAAAAAAAAAAAAAAAATCAGCTCAAAGATAGAAATTTCAGTCTATTGTACAATAATTCCATTAAATTAGATTAATCAACAAGAAATAATTGTTCCCAGTAAAACTAAGACATCTCAAATTATACAAACAAAAAAAATCAACAAATTCATGAAGTATACCTCAGCAGCTTTTGGAACTTCATCACAAAAGATTTCGCATTTTATGTCGCCAAGATTAGTGTGAAGTGTCACTGACTGCCAGCATCAATATTCAAAACACCAATTTTAATGCCGAAAAAAAAAAGCGTTAGATTAAAGCGACGAAATTCATGAGTACAGAAGAAGAAAAATACCATTTTACTGTAAGGAAGGAGACAGTGAAGAAGAAATTCAAGTTTTGATGGTTGGCTTTTTTTTTAGAATGCGAGATTAATCATCGATGCTGATCGTTGATGGAAATGAATTTTCTCGCCGACTTTAATTTAGGGGAACAGGCCCATTCGGTTTTATAAGTTTTGGCCCAGCCCATAGCCCATTAATCGTTTAAGGTCTACTTTTTTTCTAATGCTCACATTAGATTTTACATTATTTATTAGTTTTGACTTAATTTTTAACTAATACTCCGTATAAAGTAATAAATATATGTTATCGTACTCCGTAATATGTTGTTGGATTAATTATTTTTATAAAATCTTTTTACTAATTCAAAATAAAGATATTGATATTTAAAGATATGTCTTGTAAAATGTATAAACCTAAGTGAAGCATAAAAAAACGGAGAGAGTATTACATATCAACTTATGTGATACAATAGTATTTGTGTTTGTGTATGATAATGAAATGAGATCTATCTTAAATTATTATGTAACTAGCTTTTGAATTTGGATGAAATATCTTTTGTATGGTCAAATTGCTATAGGTACAATGTATGGCTTGTTATAATTGAGAGTTAGAGACCAAAAAACAAAAAATATTGCACTCTACCTTCCATCAAAAATACTACGTATATCAGATTAAATAGTTGTTTTTAAACCATAAGCTATCAGTTTCCAAATGTTTAACGTTGTAGTTAATATATACATGTCCACAATACATTTGCTTATTATTAGGTTTAATACACTCTCAAATACTATGATTGACACATGCTTAAATCCACCTTAAAATAAAAAGCTTTCTTGTGGTTGATTTTAATCAACAAAATTAGTAATATAATAAAACATCTATATAAAAATCAATTTTAAAACTTTTAATTTAATTTATAATAAAATAACTGATTATGTTCGACTAACACAATACACACGTTCGTACAAAGAAAATTACCGCTACTTTCTATAGGAAACTAGAGATTTAAAAAAAAAAATCACAAAGTAATAAAAATAAAAACATGTATTCCATAATTCATATTATATTCACATTAATATGACACAAATTCTTAATTAAGGCGGACTTTTATAAACTTATTATAATACAGAGTATGAGGTAAAGTAATTAAATTTATCCTCAAATTAAGCGTTTTGCCTGAACAAAACTCAAGTCCGCCTAATACAAAACTTATGGTTGGTATGAATGACATCACCGCCTAACTAATTACAGTTATTTAGTCTTTCTAAAACTCTATCAGAGTAATAACTCCTCTCTTCAATCGCTTAATTATATAAAAAGCAATGCAAGATAAACTAAACTATGAAGTTTCTCCCCCAAATTCCGCAAAGATGGAGGTAATCAACGCTGATTACCAGTTACTTCAAAACGACTGCGTTCAGTACGACGAAGAATCTCCTTTGTTGTTACCAATTAATCATGAAATTCAAAATAATAATCGTGTTGTTAATCGAAGGTGGTTAAATATGCCATTAACATGGTTGATGATTGTTCTGGGTACTGTTATTGCAATTTCTGCAATTGTAATCATCAAACGTTTTGCCCCATCTTTCGCCAAGAAGGTCCTTTTCTCTCTCATTCATACTTGTGATTTTTAGGGTATTATGAATTTGATTTTCTTGATTTTTTTTTGGGTTTTCTAGGGTTATAATTTGAAATTGATTAAGGGTTATTAAGATTATTGCAGATTAATTTTTTGACTGTAATGGGCAGGTTTTGTTTAGTGCATGAAGATGATTTTAGGTAATTCATAGCTCACTTTCCAATTTTGGAAAACTTAGTATTAGTAAAAATTGTGATATCCCGAATATGGAAAGGGAGAAATTTTTGTTTGCAAGTTTTAAGTTTTGATGGAATTGTTGCAATAATATGTTTTTAACGATCCATGTGATTTTACCTATCTCACAATGCTCCTCCTATGACGTGCACGAGCACTTAGTGAGGAGGCATACAGATACACCCGAATATAGAATGGACATACAGATAAACCCGAATATAGAATAGACAGGAGACTTGGTCTTAGAAGAAGTCATAATATACTCCTTGTGATATGACATACTGTTGAATCTCAAGTAATTGACCTGTAAAAGTATATGATAGCTACACTTGCAATAAATTTGTGAAGGAGTATGTGTTATTAGCTACACTTGCAGTATACTGTGATTAGTTACGCTTGGAAATTTTGTCACATGGGATATGCACATAAGACTACTCAAATGTTTTAGCTGTTAAACTGGATACTTAACTAGATTGTCTTTCGTCTTTTCGTAGGAGGTTATTCCTGTAGTACTCTGGCTGATACAAACTTGCAGTCCGCCCGTGCTTGCAGCTATTTTGTTTGCTGCAATAGCCTTGTGTCCGCTTCTACTTTTGCCGACTGTGCAGTTTAAGTGGATTGTTGGAATGACTTTTGGTTATGGAATTGGCTTCTTGCTGATCATGGCTGCAGTAACTGTTGCTGTTTCTTTGCCTTATTTCATAGCTTACCATCTGTTTCTTCACAAGATCGAAGTAAGATAGCAAGCATTTCCCGTGTTTTCTGATAGTGATTTATTCGATTCCAACTTTTTTCATGAGAGGAAATTTCTAATTTGGCTTATCTAACTATTGCTTGCTGTTTTTTGCTTATTGTATTTACGTCAGAAATGGTTGATTAATCATCCTGAAAAAGCTGCCTTTGTTAAATTTGCTGGTGAAGGCGATTGGTCTCATCAGTTTCGATTTGTTGCTCTGATAAGACTTTCTCCATTCCCATATGTGGTGTTCAACTATGTTGCTGTGGTTACCGGTGTTAAGTATAGTTCTTACCTGGTGGGAACTCTGATAGGGATGGTGCCTGATGTACTGCTTGCAATGTACAGGTTAGTTTTTGCATTTTGATTTTGAAAAATCTCTGGTTAATTCATGAACTACATTCCTTCAAGCTGATTTTCTCGTCTCACCCTGTCGAAGTGTCGAGTATACTTCTTGATGCTATACATATCTGCCCTTTAGAGTCCTAATAAATTATGTTAATGATTTATGTATTAAGAATATAATGGAGTGTGTTCTGTTTCTGATATTGGCTTAATGCTTTTTCAAAGGCTGAAGCTGATTGAAGCTACCAAATGACTCTTATTTCAATTTTGTATTTTATACTTTCTGTTCTTATAGCATCAGATGAATTTCATCAGTTTTAATTCCGTAACTGTGACACTCTTTCACAGGAATGTGATACAAGGATGTGTATGAATGTATGATTTGCAATGCTACACGGTTTGAAGTGTAACATGTGTACTGAAACTAACACGTACTGTGTAATTGTACTCTTACTATGATTACAACTCGATATTGAATTCGTTTTGAATTTTTTCAGTAGGCTTAGGAGTTAGGAGCATATTGATTTCCTGATCCGTACACTAGTAGTGAACCTTAAAACTAAACAGATTTTGATGAGTCTGTTCCATTTACATTTACATCTAAATGGCTTATGGTTACAAGTCTCATGGAGGTTGTTGGTGGGGGAAGGGGGGGGGGGGGGGTCCGAAAAATGCCATGAGCAATCGATGAAGTGTCTCACGCTATTTCATTGCTGTGAAATAGTAAAATGTTTTCAATTTTATTACATTAATTTGAAATTATCTCATACAAGATTTTGCTATTTGTCACACTTGTTGACATTGTTGATCTTCGCCTTGGTAGTGGAAAACTGTTTCGCACAGTGGCACAAGCAATGGAGGAGCATACTCATGTTTCAAAATACCATTTGATTTTTGATGGCATAGGCTTCTGTTTATCTGCGGTATCCACCATCGCCATTGGGTTTTATGCAAAACGGAGATTGAAACAACTTCAACAGGCAGAGGAGCAACAACAATTGAGGTAGCAGATCTTTCTTCAAAGACTTGCACAATTCTTCCACGTTGAATTTGATAAAGTAGGAGATAATGCCCAAGTTTTGGATATTATTCAAAATGTAAATATCTATACATCTAGTGTACATATTTTGGTATTAAAGACAAAATTGTTGATCAAATGAAGAATTTTTGAGATGTGCAATGAGATATCAAATAGTTGCTCTTTATTTTAGCTACTAAGTTATGATTGAAGGAATTTTTGAAAAAATATTTAAGGATTTTAATAACTATTTTACTAATTAATTATTATAATTAAATGGCATTTTAGTGTAATTGCTTTTAAATGGAATTGGCACAAAATCTATATTTGAATTTTGATAATAAGAATATTTTGAGTACAACACGAATTATATTCGAATTTCCTTTAATTAGAAAGATTAATAAGATCTTGTCATGGGTTATTGGGTTGCATACTTGCATAGGATGATAGAAATCAAAGTAATAAGAGTCTACTACTTCATAACAAACAATGGAATGTAATATTTTTCGGTTAATATTTTAAGGAGTAAATTAATTTCGAGATTAGATTAGTTCAATTCAAGTCCAATAAAAATCAAATTTTAAATCGAATATACTTAGGTTGAGTAAATAACAGATACGAGTCAATTTTATGATTTTATCCGATCTGCCCTCGCAAGTCTCGCAACGCAAGTAAGTTGAAAAACTTGCAATATTTAGCGTATAATAGGAATTACTGCGTAGCAAAAGCCAAGAAGCCCAATCGAGAGCAAAACCAAACGCCAACCATGGCTACCACCGGCGGCAGCCAACAACCCGATAAACGGCCGCAATCAATCTTCGACCTTCCTCAAGATTTCTTCGACTGTTGCCGTCTTCTTCCTCCCGCCAAACTCCATCATCATCCTCCTTCTTCATCCACCGAAGCAGCCCTAACTTCGAAACAGCAATTGCAGGAAGAAATTCCAGAAGATGATGAAATTTTTAATGATACTTGTAATTTTAGTATGAATACTTGGTCTTGCAATATTTGCAAGTCTGAATTCGACTCTCTTCTTGACCAGCGTTCTCACTTCAAGTCCGACCTTCATCGTTTCAATGTAATTATCCTTTTCTTTTACTCTATTTTTTTTTTTTAATAATTATGTATTATGTTATTGATTATGTGAGATTTGATAATGTTTGTTGTGGAATTTGATTGATTTTGTATTTTTGTTGAGTTATAATAACCATTTTTATGTTGAATTTGTATATAAATTGAACTTACTCGCTTTGTCTGGAATCGAAATATATAATGAAAAATATCTTGATAAGCTCGAAATATATAATGAAAGGTGAACATTATGAAGAAATTAGATGGCAAAATATTATTATATTAGTGGAATGACATTTTTTTATTTTATTTTTTTTTGTACATTTTCGAAAGGTTAGCTTTTGTTAGATTATCATTTTCTGCATTATGTAAAGCAATAGAAGAAAGAGTATTGGCATTTGGTAATATGTAACGAATTTATGATTTTAAGATTGCTGAAGTATGTACTTGGGTATTGAATGTTTTTATTCATCTGAAATAATGGGAAACATAGATTTTAGGAAGAATATATTTTGGTTTTAAACAAGTATATGGAGACTGAAAAAGAAGGGGTATTTGGGTGAGGATTCCATCACTTGATTGTAGTGTTATTGATTATTTGTTCAATGTTTATTTGTAGGTAAAGTTAAACCTAGCGGGAAAAGTTGTTTTGAATGAGGATGCCTTTGATGAGTTAACTTCAGACTCTTTTACTAAGGACTTTGATGTTTCAAGTATATCGGGATCAGAAGATGAAGATGAAAGAGGATCCCGTGTTAGGTATAATACAAGGGACATGTCGGTTCAAAGTATTAAGCAGAAATTATGTGTCCATCTTCAGTCAGGAGAAAAAGTCTCAATATGGAAGTGCTTTCTTTTGAAAGATAACGAGGATGTCTCCTATGAGAACAATCAGTTAGTGGTTGTTGATGACAATGGACGTGTTCCCGATTTGAAAGTAATAGAGAGGTTGAAATCTTTGACTCACGAGCCAAGAGATAATACTCACTTGAGGATTGTATTGCTGGCCAGTGGAGGACATTTTGCTGGTTGCGTCTTTGATGGCAACACTGTTATTACTTACAAGACGTTCCACAGGTACCTTGCCTTGTTATAAAAATAACTTTTGCTGCTACTACTTGTCTCTCCTTTCTAATTTAATGCATTTCTTTTGATTTCAATGTATGGGTCTGTTGAACTTGATGTAACTATCAAAGATACCAACTTTAAGCCGTGGAGATTGCATAGAAGAAGGCAGATTTTTAATAAAACTTTGATTTTTATTTCATGCTTCTTTTTCCTGGCTCTCCCCTAGTTATTCTGTCTAATGGATGTTTGTATTTGTGCATTCATATCTAGTGTATTAGATTTTGTCTTATATGCTAAACCTGATTTGTGTCACTGTTGTCTCTATTCTTCAGGTAGAAGTTTAGCTGTAAACTGTGCTGCATAATGCATATATTCTGTTTTTCTTAATGCTAAGTTTAGATGTTTATTGTGACTTTTTCTTTCCTTTTGGTATATAATTGATGCCTTTTGTATTAGATATGTTGTGAGGGCCAAGGCTGGTAAAAGACAGTCAACCAAAGATGCAAGTGGCAGATCTATACATTCTGCTGGAGCATCACTTCGCCGCTATAATGAGCTTGCTTTGAAGAAGGTATTGTCCTAATGACTGGTTATCGCTGTGCTGTACATGAACATGATACATATTGCAATATTTTGATTGTTTGAACATGGCGCAAGATGACTTGTAGTATATATATTTATATCATACCCTGCAAATGCAATTGAATGGAAGTAGTGGATCTAGGTCTTTAGGAACACCCTACTAAGATTTGGTCCAACTTGACTATATTTGGAAATGTAACATAATGCCTAGAACTTTGCTTTGTATATGGGAATCACTCGCTGGTTTGCTTGTGACTTGTGCAGGACGTGCAAAGTTAAAGGACATAACTTTTTACCACAATTTTTGGTGCACTTGCCTTGTGAATTTATTTCTTTCCCCTACAGAATTTCCTTATATAATTTTGACCATTTCCTTATATTCTTTTGTATGCATATTTAGTTGAGCACCGACTGTTTCCAAGATAAAAAATTTCCTCTATCCTTTACAGTGAAGTAATCTACATAATTGTATGAGTTATTCACGGGCGAGTTTAGCTTCATGTGAATTTCTCCCTTTATGATTACTTCAGGCTGTTCCCTAATGCTTATAAATTGTGTTTCAAGTTTAGTCAAACTACTCATTAGTGCTTATTTTTAATTAAATGTAAACTAGAACTACCTAATGTTTTGGACGGCTCAGTTTTAGGTAGCCCAGCGGTTATGTGAATAGCAGGAGATTTGCAAGACTGCAATTTCTTAATGCAAAAGTAAGACCAATCTTAACTTCTAGTAATGCCTTTTTAAAACAATGACACAAGGCCAAATCAGTTTCGTGTTGAGGTTTCCTAACATATTTGAAAGAAATTTTTGCAAGTGATGTTGTTTAGATCAAACATATATTTGTCTTTTAATTTTATTTTTTTTTAAAGGAGGATTTAATTAATTTTGACTATTTCATAAGCTGAAGTTGTATTTGTTCTGATTTTAGCTGCTCTATACAGCTTTCTCATCAAGTTATACTTGATCCATCTTTTCTTGTCTGATGGAAATCAAATTGATGTTGCTTACTCTCTTCTGTTTTCCAAATGGTTTTTAACCGTGATGTCATAGCTGTTGACACATTTATTTTGTTCAGGATATTCAAGAGTTGCTTGCTTCTTGGAAGCCTTATTTTGATGCATCTTCCTGTGTTTTCATCTATGCACCTTCAAGCAACCGCCAAATGTTCTATAATGGCGAGGGCCCACTCTTGAGCAACCAACAGTGTGATGCTAGGAATATTCCTTTTAGTGTTCGGCGGCCTACCTTAAAGGAAGCACGACGGATATATAACCAGTTGAGCCTAGTTGTTTATGAAAATGAGGAAGAGCTTCCTGATATAAAGCAGATTGACTTAAATGTAAGTTGTGTAAGTGATGCAAACATATTGAAGGGTGCCGAAAGGGGTGAAGTAAAGGTGATTAAGGAGGATGAAGTCTCTGGAAGTGGCAAAATTTCTGATGAAGAATCCTCGTCAGAAGAAGGTGATAAAGAACTCGGACACACTACAACTCCATTACATGAAGCAGCGAAATCTGATAATCCTGAAAAGGTTTTGGAACTTCTAGAGCAGGGTTTAGATCCTACTGTCAAAGATGAAAGAGGGAAAGCACCCTACATGGTGGCTACTGATAAGGAAGTCAGAAATACTTTCAGACGCTTTATGGCTTTAAATCTTGAAAAGTGGGATTGGCATGCTGCTAATGTTCCTAGTGCGTTGACTAAAGAGATGGAGGAGTCTCAGGCTGCAAAGCAGGTACTGTTCTTCAAATATTTAGTCACCAAGCTCTGTAGTACATTTGTGGTTGCATTCTTTTTCTATAAAGTGATGCTTTTGGCTTGGACTAGTCTGATGCATCATTGTCATCTTCTATGGTCTTTTTCCTCTTGTATATCATTTTTGAGCTGTAATTTTCAGTTCTTTTGGTGTGATTTATGTTTATCTTCTATTTTTTATGCATGTTTTCTTGATGTATGACATGGTTTATTGTACTAATTTTGATCCGGCCATCAATGCGTAGGCTGAAAAAGATGCTAAGCGGAAAGCAAAAGCAAAGGAATTGAAGAAACAGCGGAAAGCAAGGGAAAGGGAAAAGAAAGCTGAGGTAATTCTTTTCTCGATTTGACAAGAGTTGTACCAACTCCTCTGTTCCACTGTGCTATCAATCCTACTTGCCAGCTGCAGGATCCTGGTGTTGTGTTGTTATAGGAGAGGCACACTTTTCACATTGTAGGAGTATTAGCACGTAGAATTTCTTGTCAATGTGACGGCCCTATCAGTTACCGGCATTGTGTATCCTTCTCTAACGTTGTAGTTTATTCATGAAGGTCAAGGCTGCAGAATCCCAGAAGATAGCAACGGCCGCAGAGAACAAAAGTACTGCTTCACGTCCAGTTAGAACAGTTCAATCTGTGATTGCAGCTAGATTGTCCAAAGAGGTATACATATATGAATCACATGGCATATTGGCATTCATAATTATCATGATATTTAAGGGAATTTTTGTTTTACTGCCTCATGACTTTTGCGATTCTGAATTTCTGACTCATATTTTCCTTCTACTTAGGAGGAACCAAATTACTGCCTTGGGGCTTTTGCGATTCTGACTTGTATTTTCCTTCTGCTTAGGAGGAACTAAAGAGGAAACAAATCGAGGAGAGAGAAAAGAGAGCTGCTGCAGCTGAAAGAAGACTTGCCTTGGCTGCTGCTGCTGCTAATGCTCAAGGGGCTAGCAGTAACCCTACTACTGCAAGCTCCTCCCAACCAAAAACCAACATTGGTAGTACCGACACAGTTTGCTCCTGTTGTAATGCATCATTGGAGGGTAAAGTTCCTTTCCACCGATATAACTACAAATACTGCAGCACGACATGCATGCAAGTTCACAGAGAATTTCTTGAAGATGGTTAGCAAACTGGTTAGAGTTTCACCCAGTGCTTTTTTACTGTAGAAATTTCAATCTATATTGTTCATTATTATGTTAATAGCTTTAATTTAATGCTGTATTACAATCATATCAATTACAGTTATACCACATTTTTTTGAGAAAAAATTATCATGGGAAAGATCTGTCTTGTTGACATTTTATTACAGTAAAAACACACTAAACTCTGACCTATCTGATTGGAGTACAGTACATCAAAGTATATTTAAGACATGGATATAAAATACATTAAAAAAAGAGAGAGAAAAAGAAAGAAAGAAATAAACATATGAATACAAATGTTGCTGATTGTAATGAAGTTGATATGTTTGGTTGATGGCAAATCTAGTTCTCTTCTTTTGTGACCGACACGGAACAAGCCGAGGCTACTCGTGAAATTTGCTTCTCATGCTCAACGGTCCCCATCGGCCCTCCCTTCACATCATTGATATTATAGTTCATATTTCCCTTTCTTTTTGCTGTTATTGGAGGATCTACCATTCTACCTTGCACGACTGTGTAGCATATACCATAGTTTCTAGAATTTTCGGTAATCATCAATATTCAACAGGGATCACAAAAAAAAAAAAAAAATTGTCGTCAAATTGTTAATGAAGGGAAGCTACTTCCTCTTCGGCTTTGCTTTAAATTATACAGCACTGTCATGTCCCTTGTTCGAAAATTAGTTTAAATTGTATATTTTATTTTCATTTTACTTTTTTGGCGATATTGTTGGAGCTATTGAAATTTTTTGAAAGGAAAAGGATATGAGGTGAGTGAAAAAAATTGAGCATCTTTAAGGGACAAGAGGAATATACAACTACCCGTTATGTCACGAGGACGAGTTTTACATTTACTGTCAAGAAAGTAAGATAGTCCTATGGTATTTGTTAATTTGTATAGTACTTTCTGTTTATGAACTGGTGATAGGCTGTTGGAGTGGTCTTAAAAATTAAGCACGGTGTACCAAATTAGTTGCCATGATCATAGTGTTTACTCCCACGAGTGTTCATATATTTTGGAATATTTTTGGTGCCTTTATTTTTCTCCTTTTTTTTTTTTTTTTTTTTTTTTATCTGTCATTGTTCTATAACCTCATTCTAAAACAAAAAGTATTTATAAAATATAAAATCTTACTGTACTAATAATAATATTAGCAGATTAATAAAGATTGGTATTATTCCATGACCACCAGACAGACCAAAGAGCAAAAGGCCAAAGTTTTAGCCAAGTGACTTACATTTTAAGGGTCGGACATTTATAGGGCAACCTATTGTACTGTATTTGTTTCTTTAATGCATTACTTTTCTAGTTCATTCTCAAAGAGGAGTGTTTAAGAGGTTGGAAGTAGATTCTTTTTTGTTTTTATGTTTTCATTATTTATTATCATGATGCAAATAGATTATCTTCAAGTGTAAGAAAAATTGCAATAATGCAACTCTTCCTTGCAGTTTGTATTCGCAAACGTGTGATGAATTTGAAGCTATTTGTTAAACAAAATTTGTTTGAAAGCGTCATTGTTTAAAGTGTTTTCTTACAATTAGTCAAGTAAATTTACCATTTAAATTAAAAAAGCTTAATCTATTCCTCATTTTTGGAATCAACCAACAACAGTATTAGATTGTGATACTCGTACTTCAATATGAGATTTAGAGTTATATGTAAAACCGATTGAAGTTATGGGTTACATCTTTACACATTGTGTAACTAAAACAACAAAATTATACCGTAAAAGGCATGAGTATTTTTTTTTAAAAAAAATTTACAAGGCAACTTTTTCAACAATTGCTATATATTTACTCCTTTTTTTTTTTTTGACAAAATATTTACTCAATTTAATCCTATGGTGTTGTTTCTTTCTACTAAAGGTGAAAATCCTTATTTTCTACAGCACAGTCATGTAATACTATGATGGAATAAAATCATGATTCATGAACATTTATAGAAAACGAGATAATTGGTTGATGGAAGGGCATTGATAATAAGTGCTTGCCAGCCATATTTCCGTTTATGCTGAATGATTTGATCACAGAGTAAGCAATAAGATGGGATATTGGGATATATTGTGCTGTTCCTGCCTAAAAGGCTGCCGCTTTTTTTTTTAAAAAAAAATATTTATTTATTTGAACTTATTTTGCACTAATAAATCCAAATGATTAAAAAAAGTTTTGATGAATTCAAATATACTTAGGTTCAGACAAAATAAATAATGTGCAATTTAGACAAAATAAGTAATAACAACCACAACAACAACATAGTGTAATACACTTTTACAAGCACTTTCTAGATAGTTTCCAATTCAATTAAGATATATCCGATAATAATATGATTGTTAATAGCTTAATTTGAAGTAATTGTGTATTAAAAAAAATCCAAACAAAAGTAGTATATAATTGGTTAATAGAAGTAATTGTATATGTATAAAACCCAAGCAAATGTCATACTATGATTTATCTGATAATCCAAATTAGCATTATCTGGAAATATACTATGTTACGGAGTAACACTTTCCTTCCTCTTTACAATCCCATTCAATTTAATGTTAGTTGCTATATTACCAATAATCACATTTAAGCCAATATTTAATCATTGGGATTCATATACAATGATTTAATACACTTTCCAATTGTAAAAATTTATGCATTTCAAAAAAAAAAATATAAAATGCATTGTGCATTACTATGAATCTGCCATCCAATTATCCAAATTTGATTGGATTTTCTAAAATTGTTTTAATATGAGTGAATCGGTGTAGTCAATGTTTATTTATTTAAAATAATTTTTTTTTTCTAATTTTCTTATACTACCTCTGTTATATATTATTTGCAACGATTTGACATAAAGTAGAGAGGAAAAATGTTTAATCGATGCAAATAATATGTAACGGAGGTAGTATGTAGCCTTTATGCTATTTTTATAGTAGTTTTTCTAAAAAGAATGTCGATTTTTCAAGACAATTGTCATCACTAATAAGACAAAACTTCTTAATATTCCATTACAAACAATAAAATAAAAAAAAAATACATACTATATTGTCTTAGAAAAATCATCACCCGAAAAAAAATCCGTATCCATAGCCATAGCCACCTATGGCAAATATGCATCAAAATGGTTCATATTTGCTGGCTTGGTGTTGACACCACATTTGTCCATTTTCTCACTATTATTGAGGGCCATCCCAATTCACATCATTTTTAGAAGCATATACTTTCCACACTTTATTTCCTTCTTCAACATTTTTCCCACTTTAAAACGTTTCAATTCAAACCTAAAACACACATAACAGCTAGTTTTATATCCCATCTTAATGATCATGATTCCTACCTTACCCACATTTAGAAATTAAATCATATCCTTCCCTATTTCATCCCTTTTTCTTTTTTCCAACTTGCACTATATATTTATTCTTTAATTTCCTTAATTTAATAAAATTATTACTATTACCACTTTTTAACGTTACTAAAATCAAACCCAAGGCCATTTTAGTCATTTCATACACTCCCACCCTCACTCTCTTCCCACCAGCTGTTTGAGTTAAAACAATAAAACCTCCACACTTAACCATAGTAACTTAACTCCCTTAAACCCCAGTTAAACCCAACCTTAGTTAAAATCCTCCTATAAAAACCCCTTCATTTTCAACACTCCCTTACTTCCCTCTCTTTCTCTCTCTAAAACCATTAACAATGGCTTCCGCCATGAAAACCACCGTAATTTTCTCTCTCCTCTCGATCATCGCCGTATGTCACGCTCACAACATCACTGAAATCCTCTCCTCCGACCCGAGTCTCTCCCAGTTTAATTCCTACCTCACACAAACAAAACTCGACGACGAAATCAATTCCCGCCAAACCATCACCGTCCTCGCTCTCGACAATGGCGCAATGTCCACCTTCACCTCCGGCAAGCCGTTATCAGTTGTCAAAAACCTTTTATCACTCCATGTATTGCTCGATTACTACGACCCGAAGAAGCTCCACTCCATCGCCAATGGCACGGTCTTGACCACAACATTGTATCAAACCACCGGGTCCGCCTCTGCCCAAGAAGGTCAGGTCAATATCACTGATCTCAAGGGCGGGTCGGTCGGGTTCGGGTCGGGTGAATCCGGGTCAAAGCTAAACTCTACGTACACGAAATCTGTCAAGCAGATTCCGTACAATATCTCTGTACTTGAGATCAGTGCTCCGATCATTGCTCCGGCGCTGCTCACCGCCGCCGGCTCCGACGTGAATCTGACGGCGGTGTTGGACAAGGCCGGTTGCAAGACATTTGCATCGCTGATTTCGTCGAGTGGAGTTTTGAAAATTTTCCAGAATCAAATGGAGAAGGGAATCACCATTTTTGCGCCGACTGATGAAGCTTTCAAAGCGAAAGGTGTTCCAGATCTCAGCAAATTGAGCAATGCTGAGGTTGTCTCTCTCCTCCAATTTCACGCGCTTAGCAGCTACTCTCCCGTCGGAACCCTAAAAACGACGAAAGGTAAGTTAGCCACGTTGGCTCCCGGCGGCGGAAAGTACGATCTATCTCCGTCGACTTCCGGCGACACTGTTACGCTTCATACTGGCGTCGATTCTTCTAGAGTCGCCGGAACTTTGCTCGATTCAACTCCTGTTGTCGTTTACTCCGTCGATAATGTGCTTTTACCGGTGGCGTTGTTCGGAGAATCTCCGGCGCCGGCACCTGCTCCGGAGAGTGATTCTCCGTCTCCTGCTCCTTCACCGGAAGCTGATTCTCCTTCTCCGGCGAGTACTCCGGCGTCTTCGCCGCCTTCTCCGGCGTCAGCTGAGTCTCCGGCGGGTGAATCTCCGGCGGAACGTCCAGGAACCGATGCCGACGACAGTAGCCCGAAGAATGGTGTTGCTCAGAGAAAAGGTTCCACGTTGTTTATTGCAGTTGTTTTGTCAGTGGCATTCGGCGTAATTTCGTTGGTACTTTAGGGATAGGATTGTCTTTTTCTTCCACGTCCTTTTCCTCGGTTTGTTAATTACGAGTAAATGTTATTATTACCGTTTTTACTTTTTTTTTAAATTAATTGATTTGGTTTTAGTTAGAATAGAAGAGTGAGATTTATTAGTATGGTTTGGACTTGGGTTTGACTGAGAGAGACAGATTCCACTTGTTCATGATACTGTGATTAATTAATTTAATCGTGTCTTTTCTTCTCTTTTATTTCTTTTTCCATATCTTAATTTAACATTCGATCGATGCGTGATTTTGTGGTATTACGAGTGATAGAGTGACCATTGCTATGAAATTCAGCTCTATGTCGATTCAATTCGTCTAAGCGGGACTCTTTAAAATTTAAATTAAATAATGTTTTAATTATTCTATTAAGATTTAAAGATTATTATTATTATTAGTGGGGAAAATCCAACGGCGGAAACTGGTATTATTGGACAGTGTGGGGCACGTGAGTTTGTTTGTAAGCAGGTGTCGAATTTTAGAAAATGGACACTTTAATAAATGGGTGGTAGGTAGGTGAGTGGAGGCGCACATGATAAAAAAATGATATTGAGACGATGCATTCAAGATGATCCACGTGGTAACCATGCATTTTTACTGCAATGCGTTAGTTACGAGTTTAGGACAGTAATTAAGCAAGTAGGAGTAAAATAAACTGTAATTAAAGACTGCACTTATTGTACTTATTACTGAATGCTGTTACGCTTAACATTGCATTAGCAACTCTTACGGAGTATTTTGTTTATTATGGATTCGTATGTTATTTTTAGCTAGCTAACGTACATTATGTATTGCATTTATGTTGACATGTGAGATGACTCTAGTGGTAATTAAAATTACCCGATTATTTGGATATGGATCCTTTTGAATTATTATTTATTAGGTCTTGAAATATGATTATTTATTACAAAATCCCAAGTAACCTTGAAACAATCTGAAAAAGTGAAAATTGATTTGATCCAAGAGTAATTACAATATCGACTTATGTTTTTTTTTTTTTTAAATAGATATCGACTTATGTTTACATGAACTAAAACTGACTTGACCAATTCATTTGACAAACCTCAATTACAAATTCAAGTATTGTTTAACCAAAAAAAAAAAAAAAACAAGTATTGTTATGTAAAGATATTGCCAAGGTGACAATTGTAAGCAACCTTTATTCATGTTTTTATTCTGAAATTTTTTGGGAGTGGAGTTCAAATTCATTTTTTTAAAAGATAAAAAGTGTAAATAAAGTTATGGAAATTACATAATCCAGAAGGTTCCCAAATCCCAATAAATCCATGATAATTGATAAGGTAGGAATATAATGCTGTGAGTTGGTTACAGCTTTAAAGGTATGAATCATGAAACAAATTTCCTGCAATAATAATCTCTGATAAGCAATACGGTCAATTAAGGTGAAAATTTCATTATATTTAGTATTTATACAAAGAAGTAAATTAATAAAGAGAAATATTAATCCAAATAATTTCTATTTGAAGACTAAATTAGTTCCAGAAGACTACCCAGCCTCATTTAGTCATTCATCCTTTCAGGTTGGAATCCTATTTGACATTCAGGAATATAGTACTGTAAGTTGGTTACAGACTTACAGCCTTACAGATATGAATCATCAAACAAATTTCCTGCAATAATAATATCTCTGATCACTAATAGGCCCAATATAACAAAGAAGTATAAAACGAGTAACAAAGAGAAATAATAATCCAAATTAATTCTATCTGAAGACATAGGCTAGATATCAGAAGACAGACCAGTTCAGTAATTCATCTTGCAGCTTGGAATCCTATTTGAGTATTTGAAGCTCATTCAGATGGATAGTGTCTAACAAAACGTTTGTTTCCGGAAATCAGACTTCTGCTTAAAAAAGAGAGTGAAAATTCAGCAATTACAGCAAAACTAAACAGAAGCAACAGAAATATTTAACACAAATCTAAACAATTACTGAGCATAGGTCACTACAACAGTTCTGTTAAGCAACAGTTTCAAAGGGTGGAACGAGAGATCTGCAAAATTTGAAATGCATCATCTAACTTTACACAAACATCAACAACTCAGGTCTACTATAGATGTTTTCTCCTTCATTTTCCAAAGTCGGGTAAGCAGCAACAAGAGCATCCTGAGCTCCAATATACAGAGAATTATATATCTTCCAGTAGACTTCCCTAACTTTCCTTGCTGGGTGGAACAAACCCTGCAGACAGTAATTCAGTATTGCAGCGGCACCCAATGCAACTCTCATTCCCTCAATGGCTTCTGTGACAGCGTTGATTACGTGAGGTGAAGTCTCGAAGATATTGGGCCACACGTAGTTCATCAGGTGCACCAAAGCATCTTCACAGCCTAAACCTGCAACACCAAGAGCCATATGTTTCACGGCAGAAGCTGCAGTCTGACGATGAACCAGGTCCCGGTCCATAAGAGCATCTTCGAGGAGAGGAGTCACGGCATAGATATAATCCTTTCCCATTTCACCAATATATTCAAAGAGGAAAGACAGAGATTTAAGGACACCATTCTGCACGTTAAGCTCAGGAACACGGTATTCATTCATAAGAGCAGGCAAAACAGTGAAAGGTGAGCAAGTCTCAGCAACAATTGCAATAGCCACGGTTGTACAAACACGGTTCTGACGTTCTTGCACCTTAAGGTTGTTAAGCAGAGTAGCCAAGACATCCTGAGGTCCAATGGCTTTGGCAATGTACCCAAAGGTGTTGACAGTGGCTCTTCGAATTCCTTTCTTGTGAGCCTTGAGCATCTCCAGAAGCTCAAAGCATATCCTCATCCACTCTCTTGCAGGAACAAACTCTGCTCCACGATCTGCAATACGTCCCACAAGATCAATACAATTCTCCTGTACTTTCTCATGCCTGTTCTTCAAAATTGGAGTCAGCCTAGGTAGCAGGTCTTTGATTGGTGGAGTCATCTTGGTCATACCAATGACGTTAACAATTGCTTTCAGTGCTCCCAAGATTGAACCCAGCACTTCTGGATACTCCTCTCCTAGATACTCGTACAAAACCACACCCAAGTGACCCATAAGCTGTTCCTCTCCACACTGTTTCATGACCACTGCAATTCGAGAGATAAGATCAGCAGCCTGCTGTCTTACTTTTGCACTCTTGTTATTCAAACGCCACTTAATTGTACCACATATCTGGGGGAGATAAGGTTTGACCCTTTGGCCGAGGGCATTGACCACAGCGCCAAAACCATTAAGCATGACATTGGCATCATCACTTGTCTGCTCTTGAAAGGCGTACAGAATACCATCAATCAGAAGCTCCTCCAAACGAGATTCAATATCAGATGCCCCCAAGTTTGTCACCACTTTCTCTATTGTCTCCATGACCATACGCCTATAGGGTTCACTCTCATCTTTAAGATCCTCCACTATCCTACCAACTATATCAGCAACGCCAACCTTGTTGGCTATCTCTACCGTAGTTTCCACAAGCTGCTTGTAGTTTCTTCTGTCAAGAGCCATTCTCCTAACCCAAAAGTTCTTAAAGAACTCAGGAAGGATATCACTTCTAATGTAGTCAGCCTCTACACCCTCAGTGCTAACACACTGCTTAACCACTTTCAGAACAATCTTCTTCATTTCTTCATCTGGTGACTGGAACTCCCGAATAAGAATAAACATAACTTCTTTTGTATAGTAGCTAGCATAAAGAGCATCCATCAACGGAATGATAAAACCAATGGCCTTCAAGAATGCAGCCAAGACCTTTCCACGGTGTGATCTGATACCTTTCCACAGCGGTTTCAATACAGAGTCAAAACTCTCAATACCATACGGGGCTGAAGCCTCAGCTAGAGCTGCCAGAGAAAGTGCAGTAATTGTTCTGACCTTCTGGTTCTCATCATTAAGACCATGTTCTATGATCTCCACCAAAGATCTTAAGTGTGGCAGCACAGCACAACCAATCAAAATGGCTATCTGTTGGACAATCTTAATACCTGTATGCCTAGCTTGCCATGACTTCTTACTTTGACAGACAGCCTTTAAAAATGGCAGCAGAGCAGGTATACCTAGAGCTGAAGCCACAACACTAAAAGCCCTCGCGGTTGTATTCCTGACATACTCATCAATGTTATCAATATCCGGTCTCATTGCAGCAATCATAGTGGCCAATCCAGCAGCCTTACTCAAGTTTGAAATAATTTCCCTCCCCTCAACACGGGCATAGTAGTCTTCATCAATTAAGAGTGGCTCAATAACCACAAGAATTTTGTGCACGAAAGGTCGAACCAACTCATCAAGCTTGTACAGCACCCTGTCAATAACTTTCACAAGAAGATGTCGTTCTTGGTCTTCCAATGTCGGCTGCATAAGCAAAGGCAAAATTTGGTTAAACAACGGACCAGCACCAAATTCTCTTGCTTTGTCAGTGAGTTGCCGCAACGCAGTCTTCCTCTGAGGAGGAGTACCATTTTTCACTTTAAGTAGCAACTTCATAATCTTTCTTTCCTTCTGCTCCTCTGGTGACAGCTCTTCCTCGTTTTCATCATTCAACAACGCCTGAAAATATTGATAGTCCTCTGGTTTCATAAATGGCAACCCATTAGCAGGCTCCTTTCCAACATCAAACTGCTGATTCCTGTCTTCAACTGGTATTTGATAAAGTGGAGTCCCCATTGGAGTGGGTGTGGCAAGAAGCTTCCTTGCTGGGGTCCTAATTGGCACATATGAAGCAGGAGGATCCAAGATCTTATATCCTTCAGGTGGGAACATGGAATCAAGCTCTTCATCAGTCAAGGGTCTGTTCCTCTCTTCAATATCCTTCTCCCACTTCATCAAGTTATACTGTTCAGGAGTTACGGGGCCACGCAGATTAATCTGCCCAGGAGTAGGTGTAGCCATATCAACCCCACCAACAGGTGTCACACCAGGGGTCATAGCCGCAGGAGTTGCCCCAGCCATGGGTGTTGCACTCCCCATGGTAGCTGGAGTTTCATCCCACCTTGATCTCTGACGTTTTGGTGTCGGTGTTGCCATACCAGTGATTTTTGGAGTGGCATCCCACGTTGATCCAGCAGGAGTGGCACCAGGAGTGAGCCCACCAGCAGATGGAGTAGCATCAGAATCTTGTGCACGGCCAGGTGTTGGTGTCTCATCCCACCTATTCTTCCGAGCAGATGGTGTAGCATCACCGAGTCTCCCAGGTGTGGGAGTGGCATCCCACCTTCCAATTCCCGGGGTTGAATCAGCTAAATCCCAATCAGAGGAAGACTTGGCCTTCTTTGCTACACCCTCATCCCCTTGCTGATCCTGAGACTGATCCCACCTATTTCTCCTCTTCTGAGAAGGCTGAGCTTGAGCAGCAGCAGCTCCTTTCTCCTCTTCCAAACTCTTCTTCTGCTCCTCCTCTTCTTTCTTCTTTTTAGCAATCAATCGCAACGTCTCCTCCTTGTCTCTCCTCAACGCCTCCTCCCTCATCACATCAGCATAAGTCCTGACACCAACATCCGGGGTCTTATCCCCCATCGCAAAAGCATCATGCCTGGCAGGAGAAATAACCCGATCAAGCCTCCTCCTCCTATAATCATCCTCACGATCAATAATCCTTTGCGGCTTCCTCAACCCATCATCATAATCAGCCCCAGCACCAGGCATTTCCTTCAAAAGAGACTTTGGGGCCGTATAAGAAGCCAACTTACGAGCCACCTCATTATCCATAGCATCCGTATTATCCTCATCATCATCAACAGGAATTGACTGGACATAATCCTCCCTCCCACTGCTCCCATAAAGATCAGTATCATATGTAAGAGATGAAAGAGAGGCTAATTCCTGCTCCATCTTCTTCCTCTCTTCCTGAGTTTTCGCTATTTCTGGGTCTATCGACGCCATTTCTCAATTCTAAACTGATAACCCTAGTTCCAATTTACTTCAACAAAAATCTATACCAAAAATAGATAAAATCTAATGAGTTCAACCAGCAAAATTCAGTCGATTAATTGATTTAAACACAAACAATAATCTCAATCAAAGAAGAAAATTCATGCTATAATAATCAAATCACAAATTCACAGAAAAATTGCAAAGAAAAGAAATACAATAAGAGATTGAATTGAAATTGCAAATCAGAAAAGTATGAGCAGCAATTAAAAACAAGAATCTAAAGAGAGAATTAGATACCTGGAAAACAGGAGATGCAGTGAACGATAATGGTGAAGAAGTTAGAGAGGGAAAAAAATTAAATCAGGGTTTCGAAAACCCCTAAAAAAAGGGAAAATGAAAGATGTAAACTTTTGGAAATTGTTAGTTATGTGGCAGTTTGGTTAGTTGTGTGCTGGGTGGCGCTATGACGGTGTAGGTAGGGGATGGCGGTGGAAAGAGGATTGGAAATAAGTAAAATAGTAATAAAAGTGATTTAGTGAAAATTTTTATTTTGGGCAGTCTCCAAAATTAAATTCGTCAAAAATACCCCTCTATTTAAATTCCTCATTAAACAATTTGAAAATAAAGTTTGTATAAACAATGTAGGTGATGAAGAGAAATTCGGACTGCACCAGACTTTATTAAGGAAACTCATGGCCAAACCTGTTAAAAAATGTCGGTTAAACTTTTCAGATTGAATTGGTCTTTTTTAACTGAAATTGTGTTTTATGACTTGTTCAAACTCGTCCGTTTCTAGGGCAGATCAGGCCGGACTTGCGGGTCAGACCATAGTTGATCACCTCTAGTCCTACATAGCCAACAATGGCAACAACACAAACAAGCAAGGCAAGATATATAAACAATGTCCCTCGTTACTGACAAGGGCAAGGCTTGAATAAGATGGTTCTATTTTCAGATATCAATTAAAGCCATTTAGACATTTTTGGGAACCATAAAAAGCACCTCAATGCTTGACTTTGTCAAATCCGTAGATAATTTCTATCAACTAAATTCGAAGGGTATTTTACTCACAAAATCAAACCATTTTTGGAGATTTTAGGGCCTGTTCTCTTACGTTGAAATTCAGTTTAGTTTAGCTCCTAATTTCCTTCCCTTATAAAATATTCATTTCATTTCAATTCAGTTCAGTCCAGCTCAATTCAGTTCAGTTCAGCTCAGTTCAGTCAATGAGAACAAACCCTTAGGTATGGGTGTTGAAACTCAAGTGACGACGAGGATTACATACTAAAGTCATATACAAGTAATATTGTTTGGAACCACATATGATCATTAGTTGATTACGTAATGGCATGCGGTGATCTTGAGTTGATGAAATAAAATGTGTACTCCGGTGCATACATTGCTAAGTTGATAGATTAAAGGCAAAGTGTATTTTTAACTACCCAAATAAATATTTCATCTTCTCTTATTTTCGAAAATGAAAAAGTTATATTATCCAAATTTGAAACCTATAATCCACACTTTTAAACTAACAATTTTGAGGGAATTTTTCAAAATTGAAATGAATGTGTGTAGAGTCACCCCAAGGTTGTAAAAATTGTTTAAAATCATAACAATTCTATTAATTGGTTTACAAAATAAAATCTCGATAATAAGTTTTGTTTACGTTACTAGTCAAGTTTATAATGGGGGGTTTTGATCACTATGGGTCTGTTCTCATTATCTGAACTCAGCTGAACTGAACTGAACTAAATTGAACTGAGCTGAACTGAACTGAATATTTTATAAGAGTAGGAAATTAGGTGCTGAGTTTAACTGAACTGAACTGAATATTTTATAAGAGTAGGAAATTAGGTGCTGAGCTTAACTGAACTGAACTGAACTGAATATTTTATAAGAGTAGGAAATGTTGAACTGAACTGAACCGAGCTGAACTGAACTGAATTGAACTGAACTGAATTGAGTTGAACTGAACTGAATTTTAACGCAAGAGAACAGGCCCTAAATTGGCATTCGAGGGGTCCTATTAAGCTAAATAGTCAATGATGAAGGGTACACTAGTCACTTTACACATAAGTGCCACAACTTTAGGTACACTAACATGTAGGGCATGTTCTCTTCAGCTTATTTTCAGTTCAACTTAGTTCAATTCAGCTCCAATAAAGTCCAGTTCAGTTATTTTCTTAATTTCCTTCTCTTATAAAATATTCAGTTCAATTCAGCTCCAATAAGTTTAGTTTAGTTCAACTTAGTTTAGCTCCATTAAGTAGATTATTGAAACCTATTAATCAAATTGATCAATGGGCCAAGCCCACTTAGGCCCAAAGCTAAATTTTCTAATTTCAATTGTAATATGATTCGATAAAGACGGGTTAAAACTAATCAATTATAGCTTGATTTGATTAAATTGTTTTTAATGGATTATTTATTTGAAAATCAATATGATTAATGTTAATGTCCTATAATATCCAAAAACTATACAAGTAACGCACTAACCAAGCACGGAGTATAAGTTTTTTTTTTCCCCTAAATGGGGTATGAGTACATGGACAAATTTTTCCTAGGTTATTTTGCCTTTTCCAATCTTTTAATACATACCATGCTAACGTGTTGCGATTATACAAGAACTGATGGTAAGAAAAATCGCAATCCAATCCCTCCCTCCCTACAAGGCTACATGTCAAGGTAAGAAGACTATCCATCGATCTATCTTATGGAGCACGTTCCACTCACAAACATATTGAAAGCAATCAATCAAACAAAACACACAACAAAAATATTGACACTATTTATTCACTATTTATAAACACACAACATAACACTCGCTCACTATTTATTCACTACTCAGTACTCACTCTTTCTGACAAGTATTTGCCCCCTCTGTTTCCTGCCAAAACCCCTCATTTTTCTCTCTCTCTCCTCCTTTCATCCTCTCCAGTTGTCAGATATCCTCACCCCTTCTGACAATCTCTAATGACTTTGGTTTTTCAGGCCTTTTTTTTTCCAGTGTTTGTCATTTTCTACTTCATTTTTATTTAACCACCCACAAATCAACCTTTTTTTTCCCTTTACTAAACTATCACAATGAAGCCTCTTGTTAACCTTTTCCCCACTTCTTCAGGTTAGTAACACATTTTTCTTTTTCGAACGTAGCCAACCATTGTTGGTGTACCACGTAAGGACTAACACTAACATCTTTGGTTAATTTTATCGTAATGATCTGATTTTTTTTTTTTTTTTTTTTGAATTGTGATGAAGGAGAAGGAGAGGACAGGTGGAGGAAAAAAACAGAAGAAAAACAGGGGGAAAAAACAGAGGATGAATCAGAACCGTTGATCAGTCTGGCTCTTGGGATTGGTGGGTCCGATGAGAGAGAAAAAGACAACATCTTTGGCAGGATTGTAATGGTGAAAGAGGAGAACAAGGAAGTTGATGATCATGATCATAATCAAGCGGTGGTGGAGAGAAAAGGGTGTAGGATAAATTCAGTGGTCAGGTTTACAGAGGATCAGGTTCAAGAATTAAACAAACAATTATTGATATTTAAGTATTTGGTTTGTAGTTTACCTGTTCCTTTTCACCTTCTTCCTCCTCATTTTTACCTCTACAAAAGATCATCTCCTCCTTTTTGTAAGTTTTTTTTTTGTTCAATTTATTTGATATATGTTCTCAATTTAATTATTTTTAAGTTGTTTACTCAGTAGCATTTTGTAATTTATTTATATATATGGTTTTTTTTTTTTGTTTTCATTTATAATTCCCCTTTTAAATTTAATTGGTTTTTTTTGGAAGTTTTGATAATATGCATGTGAATTATGGTTTTAATTTAAGGTTTGGATTATAAATTGTAAAATATGTTTCATTTTGTTGTTTTTTTTGTTTGTAGTTTGCATTTTGGACTGCAATTCTTAGTTGGTTTAGGTATATACTGATAATATGTTGACTTGGCTTATTTGCTTATTTATTTGTACATGTGTTTTTCAAAATCGGGTGATAAAGGTCATAGGATTATTTTGAAGACTATGTTGGGAAGACATTCTCCGTAGTTGGAATTTTTATGAGAAAATCGACAATAGTTGGGATTTAAATTGCGAATTTCTCTATGTCATATCAGAATTTGTCCCTTGTAGGGGACTATTGAATGAATCATGATCTTGAGACTCAATGGAGTAGCGCCTTAACATAAGGTTACGTGTCAAACGTGTGTTTTCTTGTTATCATTTCAAATGAGGACTTAGGGTTTTTTGTGGTTTTAGTCACTTTTTGTGAGGGGATGCTAAACCCTAGTGTGTTGTCTCCTTTTAGAGATTGATCTTCAATTAAGGTAGGAAATAATGTGTTTGTACTACAGAAGTTGGGTACTTGTCTGCATTTACTCTCTGGTTGATGAGTTTGTAATACAAAGTGCTAATGGATGTGTTTGATTGATGCATTATGGATTTAAAGTTTGTGGGATTGCCAAATGTACTATGAATCATCGTCCAATGTCGCTTATACTCGAATGTCTTGTCTTAATTGCTGATAACTTAAGTTTTACATTACTGTGTAAGTACTTGAGCAATCATGAGTGTAGGAGGTTTGGTTTTACTAGCTATGCTGCATTTGCATTCATTTGTACCTACAATATTGAACTTTTGCACTTGATAATAATAATAATACGGAGTAACAAAAATAAAGACAATCTTGAGAATTTAACCTTGCTAGTGTATTTTGTTGTATGATGTTGAGTGTTGACCGTTGAGTGCCTGAGGCGATGATTGTAGGAGTACTGTTGATTTTGTTTGGTGTTATCATGATTTGTGGTTGTAGCAATTTTCTGCAGGAGATTTGATCATCACCGGCAGATGATAGATCCGGAGCCTGGGAGATGCAGGAGGACAGATGGCAAGAAATGGAGGTGCCACCAATCTGTGATTCCTAATGGGAAATACTGCGAGAAGCATATGCATCGAGGCAGTAACCGTTCAAGAAAGCTTGTGGAAGCCTGTCCATATTCTAGAACCACCAACCTCAAAAACTTAAACAAAAACATTTATCTTAACAAAGACATCAGGCCAAAATTCACAGAAAATATAGGTCCGAAAGAGCCAGCTAAGGTTGTAAAGAGAGCTCAGGACTTGGGCACTTCTACTGCAGTGAGCTATGGGGACAACGAGCAAAACAATGAGGCAAAGTGTGTCGTTGCGAAAGATAGGATTGCTGTCATCAACCAAACATCAGGGTTGGATTTCTCACCCAAAAGTGTTCTTCTAAATGGTTAGCCTTTTTTCTTACAAGACTATTTTTATAGTGTTGAAATGTCGTTCCTGTTACGAAAAAATAATTGATGTATGTGTTTTACTGTTCCACAATATGTAAATGATTCAGTTTGAATTCAAGATTCATTATCAATACATCATTGACCTCAATCATCACCTGATAAATATTCCACTGGTTTTTGCATCATTTGGTGGGTCATTTGTTAAGAATGTATGTTTCTCTGACAGCAAACCTTCTAAACTCTATTATACTGACTTGCTGTTAATTCTTATACTTTTAGACATTTAGTTGCATCTTTTTATTTTGTATTCCATGTTCGCGAATTGAGGGTATATATACTGCATCCTAGCTGATTAGTCTACTCTAGGAGCTCTGATCTGGCCACGATGAATCTTCTCTTGACTCTAAATAATTCTTGTATTCTTTCTCTTATTTACCTCATTACCTGCTAATAGTTTATGTTATCTGTCTATTTTTAGATACAGGAATGAGGTGCCCGAGTGTTCAAAGTTGCCAGAGCAACACAGAATCTGAATCAAGGTGTAAGAGAACAGATGGGAAGAAATGGCGGTGCAAGAAGGAAGTTCTACCATATCAAAAGTACTGTGCACAACATGTCAACAGAGGCAGATATCGCTCAAAGAAGCGATCTATAGGCTCATCATCCTCCAGGGAAATCCAAGCTGCCTATGGTTCTACATCCAGCCCCAAAATCTATGGAACAGGACAGGCCAAAGTCGGCTTGGGGCTGAAGATCTCGCTTCCCACAAGACTAGATGATCCAAGGAACATCTTCAAAGGAAGCATGTCTCAGAATGGTGGCAGTAGCTCAAGCACTGAAGCTACTGAAAGTGATGAGAGCATGGATGTTTCAGACATAATTGTCCTTTCTTCTTGAGAGGTTAACAACGCGTAGTTTTTGGAGCTCAACAAAATGTATATATTAGTATATAAAAGGGCAGCTAATAGGTCAGTCTCGTTGCGCTTGCATTCAGCTTTTTGTAGGGAGTACTAATGCTGAAACTTTAACCTCATTTTGCATGAATTTGATGTTGCTGATCAGATGTGAACATATTAATATTGAAATATATGTACTATGGTTGTTTGAATGTATGTTTGATTAAAAAAAATCAATCCACATTAGTATTTCAAAGATGTCCAATATAGATACCCTCCCTCTATTAAGTTGTTGCTGAGTTTGGGTTAAAGCCAGCATAGCCGTGCAGGTTTGCTTGCCCCCGAATATGAACATGGCTGTGTTTGGGCTATAGGACAAGTTGCCATCGATTAGTATTGATTTTGTGAAGAACTATTAAAACGGGGGAATTTTTGGGCCTATGTGTTTTAATGTAAATCGGTAATAAGATGACAACATTGTAAATAAATATTGACATATACTTTTAATGTTTGACGGAGTATATATCAACATAGTGGTACGGAAAAAATAACATGTTACGGAGTAATCCTTAAAAAAAAAACTGTTATGGACCATTGAATCACGTAAAATTATATTGATGACTTCGTATATAGGACTATAGGAGTTAAGCGCTGAGAACTATTGCATGAAGCACTTGGCTATTGTTATGTGGCGGTTTGGTTGGTTGTAGCTTTGTGGGCTGGGTGGTGCTATTACCGTGCTATGACCATTGGTTGAGTGGCCTTGTGGGCTGGGTGGTGCTATGACTTTGTAAATGGGTATTTATTAATTTATTTATCACAAAATCTCCAAAGTTAACTTTTCTTTTCTTTTATTTTTTTTTAATATGTAGTAAAATAATTATCAATAAGCATACGAAGTAAATGAATACATTGAAATTATTCTGACAAATTTCAATATGACTATTCGACCAAGACAAATATTTTGAAAGTGATGGAATGCGTAATTTGCAATGTATCATTTACTTTCGTTCCTCTAAAATAAAAATTTATCATTAATTTCTTCAACTTTTATTAATGTGAATCCAAATGAGACATTGTCAATCGGCAATACCAAAACAAGTTATTCCAGGTTCGTTTGGCATCTCTATAGTTTTCTATTTTTTGGTTTTTTAAAAGTATGTTATATATGTCACATAATGAATAAAAAATTATTTAGATATTTTTAAATCATGATAATTTTGAAACTGACAGCAGAAAAGTGGAAACATTTTTTTTTTTTTGTTTTTTGTTTTTGATTTTTAGTTTTCTTGGATTATTTTCTAAACTGTATACTACTATACTCTAGTCATACTCAATTACTCATACATAGACATTGTCTTGTTTGAACGGCTGAACCCTCGAACAACCTTCAAGCATTCGTAAGACATGATAATCGTGATGAATGGGACATTCGGATAGATGGACTTCATCATCGCGGATATCGATATTGTTATAAACTTATAATTGGCATGTATTATTATTTATTTTGCTTTAAAGGAAATAATTGGCCTTCTTGCCCTGCCATGCATTATAGGGCATGAGCTTATTTAAATTTATTGTAAATAATTGGTCTTCTAAATTTCACCCTTTTTTATTAATTTAGATGAGAGATTCCATTTAAAAAATAAAAAAATTATGCATATCAATATACGAGTATATCTTTAAGGACTTTATCCATGAATATCTTTGATTATACAAGTATATCAATTTGTCAAAATCATAAAAATCTAATATGGAGTATATAAATATAATTACAAATTAAGTTGAATAATCTTACAATATTGAACATGACTATACATGAGTTGTATGTATATCATATATGTGATTTTCAAATTGTTCAAAAAAATAAAGAAAGTACCTACAATTAAAATATTTTACTATAATTAAATTAATTTTTACTTATCATAATTGATTTTGCTATAATAAATTAAGTGATTTTACTTATTAAAATTTATCTTTTGTGAAGACAAGGAGGTACGTAATACAAAATCTCATAATGAATGATTGCTGACGAAGGCACGTATACGTACGATATCATACGGAGTAATTAGGAGCTAATTTAAATAATTAACCAATTTTGAGGTTGTTGTGACTTTGCTTGTACCATTACATTTACGTCTGCGTATGATGGGCGAAATTTATGTAGGAGTGATCATACACTCACCATTTCACCAAATTTAAGTGCTTTCTTACTATTATAGTGCCCATCTACGTCGATTAGAGTATTTAATCGTATATTATAAAGTTTATTTGGTAAAATTTTTGGATAACTTGGTTTGTATGGTAGGATAATTTGCCAAAAATTTCATACAAGCCTAGCTATTTGACATCGCAAAGTATATGATAAATACTACTCCGTATTAACTATATTTAGGTTTATTTTTTTTTTTATTTTTTTTATTTTTATTTTTTTTAAAGAACTATATTTAGTTAGAATAGACAAAATAATACTCTATACTCTCTTTGTCCACTTTCAAATAAAAGCCTCATTTTAATATTTTTTATACTCTTGAATTTATATTAATCAAACTCTACCTTCGGTTTAAAAAAAAAAAAATTATCCACATTAATCAACAAATCTAAATCTCGGAGTATTGATTAACCAAATCCCATAACAGGCAAATTAGACTTTTATTTAAAGACGGATGAAGGACCTACTTAATTACAGGGTATATATTTATAGAGGCAACAAATTACAATAGTTTTTGGCATTCCATTTAATTTTTTAGGTACGTGTTTGGCTTTCTATGGATCATATTAATTACTTCGTAGGATAAGATAAGTATAGGGTTCTATTGCATTTTTTTTGGGATACTAAACTTACACAAACACTAATTACATTTTTCCGCACAAATGGAATTTGGGTCGATGCTGATGTAATTCGCACAAAATTGTCAATATAGATGTCATAATCCTAATCAGTTTAACGGAAAACCAAAAACAAAAACAAAAAATAAAGTATAGATGTAATTTTCAAACCAATTTAACTTCATAGAAATTTTAAAATTTCTGAAAAAAAAATTCAATAATAAAATTTCTTGCATTGACTTATCGAGCTATTAAAAGATAACATGGTTGTAACCAAGCTAACAATTAATACTGATATAATAATAAGTCAGAGTACATTTTTTCACCTGCAAACTCTCCTATGACTACGAGGCTATGAGCTATGACCAAATATCAATATTTGCTTACTTGGATTTTTTGGTACGGTCAATGTACAATTGTACAAGGGGTCATGTTAGATAACAAATATGTTAGTTGCTTACTAAAATTGTCTTTTCCTTTAGATTGAATTTAATAAGGGTGGTTTAATATGTTAGACGAGTCTCTTACTCGTAACTAATAATTAACAAATTATCTAAAAGAATCGATTTATCATCATAGAAGTTTATTCTCTACCAATGATTTCAATTTAATTGGTTTATTTTGTGCTGTTGTGACGGTTTATTAATCTGTAAAAATGCTAAATACAATACAATCAGTATTATATATAAGAATTGTTGCATCAATGAAAAATAATCTAAAGTTGGGGGTACCAATTAAAAAAAAAAGATCGAAGAACTTAAAACTTATTACGTGTATATAAATTAATTTATTAATGAATGCATCAAAAAGTACAAGCCTTTTTTGTAGCTTATAAGTAAGCAATCCACAATTTAAATCTATAGTACATTACTAATCTATTGTTAATTGGTTTATTAGCTAGTAAACTCATACATAAATCGTGTATCTATAAGTCTATAACATCCATAGAATGCACACACTATAACGTTCAAAATGTGAACCTTTGCTTAATTAGCTTTCTCTACTGTGCACAGGGTTAGTTGCATGCACCCTATGCTTCTCCACGTGTTTCAATGCAAGCGTAATCAATAACTACTCTTATTAAGGGACTAGTCTAGCCAAACATGTGCAACCTAGTTAGCTCTTACATTGCATCTAATTCAATCAATACCTACGTACGTACGACAACTATTAACTACGATGGGATAAGATCGTACATAGTTACGTTTATATATACGGTGCACATGAGACTACGCATTCACCAGTTCACCACGTAGTCACATGATAACACACACGCATGAATTACACGGGCCGGACAAAACCGGACTCTCACGAGAAATGTGGTCAAGCAGTCAAGCTCACTCATATTGCATGCAACAACATTATTCAGTTGCTCGATTATCAAACAGAAATTAAAAACGTACATTCAGTTATTAATTGCTTTAGGAGCAGAAAATAAGTTGCATGGAGCATTTATATCGTGCATCAGAGTCGATCCACTTCAAACAAGAATCCAATAAAATTAATCTATCTTTATAATAATAAAGAAATCTTGTACTACTATCACAATCTTAATTACTTTGAAATTTTTATCTAATAATTAGATCAACATAGGTTAAATTTTAAGGTATCCATATTAAATACGAGATTATTAATTTATTTTAGAATTAAATAATTTAAATGACACGTAAGTAAAATTGACGAATGAGAGATTTTTCAGTTTAAATTAACTAAATATAAAAATATTATATTGATATAAGAAATTTTATCTAAATATATAACAAATTTTAGCACATAAATATATGTAAAAAAAATTATTGCATCGCACGGGCTTCATCTAGTCTTAATTACTTTGAAATTTTTATCTAATAATGAGATAACACCGGTTAAATTATAAGGTATCCATATTAAAGATAAATTAATTATATTTTATAAGATAACAAAGGAAAAATAGATAATTATTTTCTAATGAGATTTTAGTCCTTTTACATTAAGATCTTAAACATTGGATAATATTTACAATTCCCATTATTCATTATATATATGGTAAAATATTAATTATAATCCGATAATATTAACACAAAATAAGGGTTAAGTGCAAGTCTTTCTGAGTCAAACTTTTTTCTATAAATTCAGCCAATTTTCTTCAGTTTTTCTCTCACTTTTCAATTCATTCGTTTTTTTTTTCTCTCTAATTTCTCTCTCTAAATTTTCTCTCCTCTTTTTCTCGTCTTCTTTCTGTTGATTCTTGAAGCTATTCAACAATGGTGAATCCTGATGTTATTCGTAGTATTCTCGGAATTATTGGTATGATTAATTTCCTCTACTTTAATTTTGTTCTTCCTTTTTTAGAAAAAAATAATTGTATTAATTAGCATTATTATTCTTGAAAATCTTCTATTAATTACATGCAATTAATTCAAACTTATCTTACGATCATTTTAATGCATGAAATTCATCGAAATAGTTTTCTTGATTACGTTATAGTAGTACTGTAGTAGTAATAGTAGTTCAAATTGCATAAATTATCATGAAATTCTTGCTTAGTTTTTTTTTTTTTTTTTTTTTTTTTTTTTAATTTTATTTTTAAATCAAGAAGTAAAAAATGAAAAAAAAAGAAAATTAGATCAATATCGATTTGATTTTGATTACTCCGTACTTACTTTCTTTGTAGGTTTTTTTTTTTTTTTTTTTTTGGTAATTTTACAGTTATCAAACTCTCTTAATCACCTTTTTTTTTTTAGTCTTGACTGATAATTAATTCTATAAATGTCGTAATTATGGAGTTAATTTGTATCCAAAACTTGATTAAGCTACGTCAAAATAGGTCATTGTTAATAATAAATCTTGATCAAAATTCCAAAATAATGAAAAAGACAGTGTAATTTAATTAATTTTCATTAATAATTGGTAATGATTGAGTGAAAAAGTAAAAAATACGGCGGGTTGAAGAGTTGAGGTAGTCGTGAGTAAAACGGCGAGCGAAAAAATCGGCGAAATATAAGGTTGTTGTTATAATTACAAGTAGTAATTCTGTTATTAAAATTTGTATTTATTACCCAAATTTGATGCATGTACTATGGAGTACTAGAGTGCAACTTTCAGTTTGCTTAATCACACTTTTTGTGTGTTTTCTTCTTTACCACGCTTTTTGTATTTTCTTTAATCACACTGTTAATTATTTTCTGATAATAACTAATTTTGTTTAATCACACTGTTTAATTATTTAGTGCTAGTAACTAATTTTGATTCCTTGATTAATTTTGCAGGAAATGTTACATCCTTCTGCTTGTTTTGCTCCCCTGCGTATGTATTTTTTTTTTTTTTATAATACTTTCTCTCTCCTCTTGTGTTTTTATATTAATTAGTGATTTAATTGTGATATAATTACTGAATTAATTAAGTTGGACTGGATTATAACTATATTGAATGATTTTAATTTGAATGTGTTTATAATAATTGCTTGTGATTCTAGGGTGTGATAATGTATATTGGATGTGTGTGATATCACCAATTTAACAAAAGATTAGTGATGAATCTAATTTATAATTTTTGCATACGTTGATTGAATCTTATGCCAAAGTATGGAAGTTTAGATCCGAGTATAAATATGTTGTAACGCGGTAATATATAATGTATGGTACGATTTTGATTAACTTGAGAAATGTATGAACGATGTATGGTATGTAACAGGCCTACAATGTGGAGGATTTTTAAGAACAAATCAGTGGAGGAATTCAAGTTTCACCCTATTGTAGCTGGTATAATCAACTGTTTCATGTGGGTGTTTTACTCGATGCCATTCGTGCATCCTCACAGCATTCTTGTCACCACCATTAACAGTGTTGGACTTGTTATGTACATTTGCTACAACATAGTATACCTGAGATATGCTAACAATCAGAAGAGGGTAAGAATTGAGGAAAATTAATTCCCCTGAATTTTAGTCATATTCTTTGTTGTGATGATGATTACTGGTTTATGTTGTTGTAATTCAGAAATCAATGTTCATGTACTATCTTGCGGAAGTTGTGTTTTTGGCTGCCTTGATCTCCATCACACTCCTTGCGTTCCACACTCATACGTCGAGGTCTACCTTTGTTGGGATCTTTTGTGACGTCTTTGGGATCATTCTCTATGGTGCACCTCTCACTGTTATGGTATGAATTTTGCATCTGTACTTGTATTTTTCGATGTTAGCTTTGTAACGTAGTTGTTAATTACTTGAGTTATACATGTATATCATGTCCTGAATTATGAAAATTTGTTTGTTTGGCGCAACAGTACAAGGTCATTAAAACGAAGAGTGTTGAATTCATGCCATTGACTCTTTCATTGGCTGGTTTGTCTAATGGAGTTATTTGGAGTGCATACGCCTTCATCAGATTTGATCCTTACATTCTGGTAATCAGTTATACCTAATTTCATCAAGTCATTCTCAATGTAAGCGTTACAATGCTTGCCTGATCCTATGTTTCTTTGTTGCGCGCAGATTGGCAATGGGGTTGGAGCCATACTTGCCGTAGCACAATTGATCTTGTACGCTTGCTACTATGGGTCTACACCGAAGGAGGGGAAGCCCGTGAAGGACCCGGTGAAGCCAACAGCACCACAAGTGCAGATGACTGTTTCTGCCGTCTAAAGATGATACTCAGTTTAATCTAGCTAGGTCCCTAGCCATTTTAATCTGTTCTTGTGTTGGCTAGCTTGTGTGTTTTTTGCTAGCGTAGGTAGTGGTTTTGGTTATAGCTTAAAAACAGTAATAGTACTCTGTGTTGTGTTTTCTGGTAGGAATTTCTTGATTACCTTAATTAATTCGAGTGTTCTTTCTTCTTAAGATTGAAGAAGAGTGAGGTTAATCATTTCATATGATAGGGTTGGAATATAAATATGATAAACAAACCTTTTATCCTTTCACCTTTGTTCTTACTTGTTGCATTATTCAAGTTCTCTTTTTAATTTCAGCTCTAATGACTTATAACCAAAAACGATTATTGATCGATGTTTTCATTATCTATGCATGTAGAGAGATAATGCTAAAGGAAAATGAGTAGTTAGTTCAATTCATAGTTAGTTGTTGATACCTCTAACAAATCCAGCATAATTTATGTGGAAAATAAGGATTTCTTCGATTTTTGTATTATTGATTTATCGAAGATTGGTGTGTGATTGATATAATAATTACAGCACAAAGGTAAGAAATGTTACGAAGGATAGACAATTACTATGCAAGTGATTAATTATATAAATCACTTCATGAGATGTTTGGCATTTTTATTACCGGTATTTTACTCCCTCCGTCTCTAAAACCATGTACTTTTATTATTTTCTCTCTCCATAAGCTATGAGCCTATGACCACATATCAATATTTGCTTGCTTAGATTTTTTGGTACGGTCAATGTACAATAGGGGGTCAAGTTAGCTATCAAATATGTTACAGTCAATGTACAATTGTACTCCTGTGAAAAATGTCCAAAAAAAATGTTCTTTTAGAACCGGAGGGAGTAGAAATATGTTCCACATTATCCGTGTGCTATTACAAGCTTATCAAGTGAGATTTAAGGAGCGCAGTGCGCAAATCCAAGGTATCTAGTTATCCATTCATTAATTCAATTTTACAGCTTCAAGATGTTACAGCCAATGTCAACAACTCTTGTTGGAAATAGAAATATGGACCAAATATGCTTAATAATATCGAGTTATAGATTCATTAATTCAATTATACAACTTTCAAGATGTTACAGCCAGCCTCCAACAGCAGGTTGGAAATATATATATTGACCAAATATGCTTAATAACAGCCAACCTCCTACAACCTATTTTCTTATGTAATTCGTCTTCGTTTTAATCAGTAAAGTTTATTCATTTACAAGATTTACATAAATAGTCAACAAAACAAAGAAAGAATCCAATCTTATGTTCTTCCCTATCTCAAGTCTCAACCCACAACTAATCTTCAGTTGGATCAAGCTTGGTCAGCAAAATACAATTTAACCATATTAAATGGTGGGTTAGCCGGATCCAAACTCTTTGTTCCACCGTTCAAGCTCCTCCCATCGGCGTTTTGATAAGCTCGGTCTAATCACAGTCATAGCATTCCGAAAGTCTTCATATCTCAAAGGTCTGACCTGTTATATCAAATAAACAAGCAAATACCTAAGAATCATTGCTTAATAAAACAAATTAATGATTCCTGCATAACAATCAAGCAACCTGATTAGCCTTGACTGTGAGTATGTTTGGACCAAGTTCTCTTATTGGCATCATGGCAGCTTCTTCACACAAGGCTTGCAGGTCACTTCCGGAGTATCCTAAAGATAGACAAAACATAAAGCAACTTAAAACATAAATATTGACAAACTATACTGGCATGTAATACCTGAAGCCAAAAAACCAGAACACAGATGAGACTCTCAAGAATAACATACCCTCTGTTTCTCTCACAAGCCTTTCTAAATCTTGGCCTGCATGAAAAAAACAGTAGATGGGTCAAAATAGTGTTTCAGTTAAGTAATGAATACAGAAGAAAAAATAAGGTCAGTACATGAATGGATTCTTAAACAATCATTAATAAGTGTTCAAATACATTATAACAGCATTTAAAGTAGTCTGGAAGACATCAAGAAAACATACAAGGTTGGATAATCAAACTAGATTCTTTTAACTAATCTAGACTTGTGCTATTTGAACTTGTAGATGGTGGGAATAAACAAGAAGCTCCTGAATGTATACAGCTAAAGTAAAAACAGTTGTATAAGAACAGCATACAAGTATCATTGTACAATATACTTAATGAATAATTATACATCAAAACAAAACGCAGAGGATAGGACTAAAAAAAATATCTTGTATGGAGTAAAATTATACTTACCTGGCAAGGAAAATGCTTGACCCTTCAATTTTTGATTAAGAATAAGCCGCCTGACATTTTGATCAGGCAATGGAATGTATATTCTCTTGACCTGGCCAAAGATTGCTATAACATGAGCATAGAAGCAACCAAGGATGTGATAGTGGTACATATAAAGAAGTCCCAACACTATAATCAGCCAAAAGAGCCCCAAATATATATACATAAGATTCTTATATACTCCGTAACTGAGTACACAGTGAACATATGAAGTTGCTAAACAAGGGAGGCTAAGTAAATGGATCGAATAACGTAATACTTGCATAAATTTAACCAGGTTCAATGACAATCCTAGATCCACCTAATGATATAAGCAATAAAAATGTCCTCGCCATCAGAAACTATCTCAGAAACACAAGAGTTCATATATACACAAGCATTGCTAATCATATGCTGGTCTATATGCCAGGCCTAACAACCTTATATGAGCACAGAAGACCAAACAGAAGAGAAACAAACATAAGTGGAGTTTTGCCTAGGTATAAGCTAATAATTAAAATCAATCCAAGCTCGGACACCAGGATGAACATCACTGAGAGATCTCTCTGTCACAGTGAGGTCAATAATGAATGTAGATACAACATCAAGAATTTTTGACAATATATCAACGTGAGAAGACTTATTATATAAATTGAAACAGGTTAAACAGTTTGGGGGGTAGGTAAGAAAAGTACCAATCTCCTCAAAACTGCATCATCGAGTTCTTGTGGTTTATTAGTTGCACCTGTATAGGAAAAGAAAAGAGAGGATGAAACAAAATAAGAAATAAGTCTATGTGAAGATTATTTTATAAGAAGGCGCACTATTTTGGTTTGCTCTCTCTGCATTTCTGAAAAGCAGCTTTTTTTCAACCTACTTAAGTGTAGTGAGCTCACCAATTACTATCACTAGATCATCAGGATTTGAGGTGACACCATCAAATTGAACAAGGAACTCTGACTTCAACCTTCGGCTGGCATCATGTTCATTAGCCTCTCTAGTAGACATCATGCTATCAATCTGCCAAAAGAAAAAGGCAGAACATACTCATAATCAGTAGATGCTTTAACGTAAGAATTTAAGAAAATCCAAGTTTATCTGCTAGATAAATAAAAAACTGTTTCTCAAGTGGCACTACCATAAATAAATCAACAACTTTTTATTAAAACGTGGGGCCCAATGCCATGCTGACTGAGATTTTTTTTGTTGATTTATTTACGAAATTGCCACTTGATACATGTTTTTTGTTTATTTGCCAAATACACAGGAGCTTCCTCAGAAACTACGATTGGACATCAGAATCCTTGGAAAAAATTGACAAGGAGAACATTTATTAAGTAGTAGCAAAATATTTTCCTACGAAGTATAATTTTGAATTGATAGGAGGTATTAATCCGTAATTGTAAGGATGGCCATACAGTTTTCTATTACTATTGGCTGATAATGGGCAACATATTCCAAAGAGTGAAAGGCATAATATCCATTAATTAAAAACAAAGTCTCTGATCTTACCAGCCCCTAACCAAAATAAATTAATAGCAACAGAATTTCAAAATTATATCGATAACATTCATAAATGAAGAAAAATAATATAATCAGTAGTAAATGAACAATTATTATACAAGGTTTTTCAAAATGTATTTGCTACATAAAAAGGGGAAGCTTCACAGTCTTTTAAAGTGAGAGCCTGAGAGGTACACAAGGGCATAAATTTGCAATAATACTCCATATGATGAACTCATTCATAGGTTAACAAAGGCTTGCATTGTAACCAAAAAGAGAGTATAACTTTCGGTAAACAAGAAAACAAAGATATCAGACTGCTCCACATTCATGGCAATGACTTATCATAAAAAATAAAAAAAAAATAGCCAGACATTTCCAGGTCATCCAATTTGCTTCAAGATTAAACTCACAGGCCTAACTTCTTTATCATTAATTCATTATGGCACAATAAGACCTTTCAAGATTAAACTTACCATTTCATGACTACCACTCACACAAAAAAAAAAGATATTCCTTAAACTCAACTAGCTTGCCCTATTTAGAATTTTGGTAATGCAAAACATGGTGAACCACAAATTCCAAAGGCGGCAAACAATTATCTGGGTTGAGTAACATCTTAATGTTTTCTATTGAATGACTTGTGGTATTATTTGGGGTTCTAACTTGCAAATGATAAAACATGTATATATATCACGTGCACCCAGACACAACATACTACATTACAGAACAGTTGTTCACATAGTTTTTGAAGAATTTGACCATCTAGATAATCAGTTTTGGGATTCAGAACAGAAACATACCTCATCCATAAAAATTACAGAAGGCTGCCTCGAGATAGCAACCATGAAGAGGGTCCGGACAAGCTTTTCACCTTCACCAACCTATCACGACCATAGCACAGGAATTGATCATGACATGCAGGCTATAGAAAAACAAGAATATACCAACGCACTTGAGGCTAGAACACCCACCCACTTAGATGTTAAGGTAGACGCAGACACATTAAAAAATGTTGCATTACACTCCGAAGCAACTGCTTTAGCAAGCATTGTTTTCCCATTGCCGGGTGGACCAAACAGAAGCAGACCTAGAAGCAGAAAATAATCAAAATTACCACAAAAGTAATTAGGCATAGTTATCACATCTCATATTAGCAGTCTAGAACACTATACCTCGGGGGGGCCTCCTAAGGCCAGTAAATAAGTCTTTTCTTTTGGTGGGAAGAATAACCATTTCAAACAAAGTTTGCTTTGCCTTATCAAGACCAGCTGAGAAAAAAGGTTTTCAATGATAATTGAGCACATAGTACAGATTATAAAACAAGGTCAAATAACAAAACTTTCAATGATGATTAAACAAAGCACAAAGCAGGTTGAATAGTTGCAACTAAGAACCCACTCGCCTTACCTACATCTTCCCATTTGACAGAAGGACTTTTATCCACAACTACTGTGGTTATCATCTCAACTAATTTTGCATCATAACCACCAGTATCTTGGTTTGATTTAGATGCTCCAGAT